TTGAACTCAGGGCCTCACACTTGCTAGGCAGATGCTCTACCACTTGAGCCCCTCTATTACAGATGTGAGCCACCAGCACCTGGCTAAAAACCTCTTTGTCTTGTCTGTCTGTAGCAACGTTATCTTGACATGTTCTGTCCTTCTGACAGCATCTTCTCAGTGTTCTAGGCTATGCATCTGCTTACTCTTTATGGATATATCTCTAAAGCCTCCACCCTTAACAGCAATTCCATATGCTTTAGTGTCACCCACAATGTCCCACTTGTACTTCAAACCCAACATGCCCGAAAGGTGAGGATCTGTGGAGATGAAGAGGTGTGGATGGTCTGGGAAAACATAAAGAGGTAAAATTCACAAGAGTTGGCAATTGACTGGACTTAGCTGAATGTGTTGTCCTGAATTGAGGACAACATCTAGGTTTCTGATTAGGACAACTGGATGGATGGTGGTACTATGAACAGAGAGGATCCCAAGGGCTCAAGGAAAGTGATGAACTCAGCTTTTGACACAGTGCAGTGGAAGGTGTCATGCAACACTTGGGTGAAAATGTACAACAGGTCATTGGACTTTTGGATTTAGAGTCTGAAGGAAGGAACTGGAGGTATAAATTTGGGTGCTATCAATATATTGTGGTTGATAAAACTGTATTCCTCCAAGAGATGACCACTGTGAGAAGTAGAAGTCAAGAGTGGAGTCTTAGGACTTTCTTCCATTCATGGAACAGGAAGAGTAAGACAATTTAGCCTATAGTTCTAGAAGGCACATTGAGGAAGAAAAGTACCAGAAAAAGCAAGTTGTCATGGAATAAGACAAGAAGTGTTTTTTCAAGAAAGAGGAAATGGTTGGTGTTTTCGTAAGCCTTGAAGAGGTCAAGAAGATAAGGCTGATGAGATTCACTGGGTTTGCAAACATGAGATCACAGACACTGTACTAGGGAACTTCTAATCAATTGTTGGGGTGGAAGTCACATTATGGTGGGTTGAATGGTGAGGAAAAGGTGAGAGTGGACCACTGTCAAGAAGTGTGGATGAGAAAGAAGAGAGAAAGAGAGAGAGAGTTATGGCTGAAGGGAGAAGTGGGAGTGAGGGTGGTAGGGGGTTTCTGACTATGCCCTTCTATTGTGTATCTTCATCTCATCCAGAAACTATGGGAAAGTCTGAATAAACCCTCAGGCTTCATTTTCTTTTTGTAACTTGCTTTTAGTTGACTTTAAAACTCACTTTGGATGTCATGCATCTGATCTCTGTATTGTCAATCTCCTGTACCTCTGCTGTAGGGAAATCTGACATGTGGGTCATGATGGTAACAGTTGCCCATATTACTTTTCAGGGACATAAATGCTGTTTTTCTTGTTATTGCTGTTGGTTGTTTTGCTGGATTTGGTTTTGGTTTTTTAAAACAGGGTCTCTCTATGTAGCCCAGGTTAGCCTCAGACTCACAGTCCTTCCATCTCTCAGTTTCCTGAATGCTGGGATCACAGGCCTGCACCTGGCTTTAAAGGCCATTTTTGTCAAAATCACCAACTCTTCATTTGGGTCTGCACAGGTGTCTTATGGGTGACCCATTGACCTCCAAATTCAGACTGCTAATTTTCTGACCATGAGTCCCTTGAAGAGCCATGAAGGTTAATTATACATACAGACCACCAATTACTTCACCTCCAGTCACCTGTTCCCATGCCTTATGTCACCTTGCTTCTTTATCCCATAAATATCCCAAACCCTAGCCCCAGGGGACAGATTTGAGACTGAGGTCTCCAATCTTCATACTTAGCAATTTTGCACACAAACAAACAAAACCCAGTCTTTTTAAAACTCTTTTTTTTCACTGATTGATCCACTGTGAAGTTGGCACATGGACCTGGTTCAATAATACTCTTTGAGCTGCTGACTCCCATTCATGGCTGATTTGACATTGAACAGATGCTCACTGGCATCTCTAACTCTCTCCAATGGGAATCATGACTTCTCCTCTCCAGGCTTCTCTTCCCTTGCTGCTCACCAACTATCCAGCTGGTAACCATAATCCCAGGAGACATCTGTGGCACATCTCAATTTATTTGTGTCACGATGGAGTCCTGGGCATTTATTTTATTTTTTCAAAGAACAAATGGCCATCTAAAAAGATGACTTATTTCCCAGTTTTGAACATTTTTCTAATAGTCATAAAGTTGTTTCAAAATAGAACAGTCAAAAAGAATGATAGATAGATGTCTTCCACGGGGGGGGTGGGTAGCTTTTGGAAGGATTGCAATTTTTAGTTGAAATTCCTCAAGATTAAAAATGTTCATTGTTCTAAAAGTGCTGTTAGGAGGAGGAAAAGACAAGCCTGTGCTGGAGAACATTTGCAAATCAGACAAAGAACTTTGAACAAAATATATGAAGAATGCTTAAAACTCAATTTTATGGAGCTGACAATGGTTTCTTAGGAATGACAACAAAAGTACAAGCATCTGAAGAAAAAATAAATAAATTATACTTCATCAAAATTAAAAACTTGTTAACTATAATATATTGTAAGAACTTTTGCAAATGTCACAGTGTACCCAGCACAACAACAATTTTTTAAAAAATTAAAAACTTGTGCCAGGTTCTAGTGGCTCAGGTCTGTAATCCCATCTACTCAGGAGGCAGAGATCAGGAGGATGGAGGTTCAAAGCCAGCCTGGGCAAATAGTTTGCAAGAACTTATATTGAAAATACTCAACACAAACAAGGGCTGGTGGAGTGTCTCATATGGTAGAGCGCCTGCCTATCAAGTGTGAGTCCTTGAGTTCAAACCCCAGTGCCACCAAAAAAAAAAAAAAAAAGAAATTAAAAACTTGTGTGGGGGTTGGAGTGTAGCTCAGTGGTAGAGCACTTGCCTAGCAAGTGCAAGGCCCTGAGTTAGATCCCCAGCACTGAAAAAAGAAAGAGAATGAAAGAAAAGAGGAAAGGAAGATCCATAGATTAGCAGCAAATATTTGGCAGTCATTCAGTCATCTATAGGAAAAGAGGCTAGTATCCAGAGTATATTAAGAGCTCTTACAACTCAACAATAAAAGGACAAGTAACCAATTAAAAATACTCAAAGAATTTGAATAGCTTTCTCCAAAGAAGAGCTACATGAAAAGATGCTCAATATCATTAGTCAGGCATTAGAGAAATGTAAATAAAATGCAATGAGACAGTTTCACATCTACTAAGATGGCTATATAATAAAAACTGTTGTGAATATGGAAAAATTGGAACCCTCATAGTTATGATGTGAATATAAAATGGTGTAGCCAACATGGAAAACAGTTTGGCAGTTCCACAACATATTAAATATATAGTTACCAAATGGCCTGGCATTTCTGTTCCTTGGTATATACTCCAAAAAAATGAAAGCATAAGTTTACACAAAAACTTGTTGGTGGCTCACGCCTGTAATCCTAGCAACTCAGAAGGCAGAGATCAGGAGGATCATGGTTTGAAGTCAGCCCAGCAAATAGTTCAAGAGACCGTAGGTCAAAAAAACCCATCACAAAAAAAAAGGCTGATGGAGTGGCTCAAGGTATAGGCCCTGAGTTCAAAGTCCAGTACTGCAAAACAAAACAAAAAACTGTACACCAATGTTCATAGCAGTATTATTCATAGATAGCCAAGAGTGGAAACAATCCAAATGTCCATTCACTGGTGAATGGATGAATGGAATGTGACCTATCCATACAAGGAATATTATTCAGCTACATAAGGTATTTAAGCACTGACACATGCTACAATATGGATGAACCTTGAAAAGATTACACTATAAAAGAAGCTAGGCACAAAAGGACAAATATGGCTGGTAATGCCACCTCTATAAAAATATCTAGGGCTGGTGAAGTGCTCTCAAGTGATAGAGCACCTGCCTAGCAAGCATGAGGCCCTGAGTTCAAACCCCAGAACTATGACAAAAAAAAAAAAAAATCTAGAACTAGTCAAATCTGTAACGACAGAAAGCATATTAAATGGCTGCCAGAGGCTGAGGATGGAATGGAGTTTGATTGCCTGATGGGTATCAGATTCCTAGTAGGTTGAAGAAAACTGTTGATCACTGTGATAAAAATGATATTACAGTGATAGTTATACTAAGAATACAGTTGCATTGTGAATATACTAAAACCCACAGAATTTACACATTAAATTGGTGAGTTTTGTGGTATGCGAATGATAATCTCAGCAAAGATGTTGCATTTCCCAGTTCAGGGACTCATCTTCTCCCATTAATTTCCCAAACCACTGCCCAGGAGCCCTAACTGAGTGGCCATGCTTTGCGGGGAGGAAAGACAAGACTGGCTTAGTTTCAAATGGAGTCTCAGGGCTGAAACAGTCACACAGGTAGACAGTGATGACCGGGAGACAGAGAAGTCCACACCGGAATCCCGGCTCGAGTTTCAGGATGTTTGACCTTGGGTTTTCTCCTTTCTAGATATGCCAAATAGAGATAATCAGCACTTTCCACGAAGAGTCCTTGGGAGGAGAAAAAGAGCTCTTGGCAAGCGCTCAAAACCTGTGGGATGCTGCAGCAGTCTGGTGGGCCCCACGTATTATGATTATCTTTTTTTTTTTCGGTACTGGGGTTCGAACTTGAGCCACTACTCCACCACTCCACCAGCCTTTTTTTTTTTTAATGAGGGTTTTTTCGAGATAGGGTCTCATGAACTATTTGCCTGGGGCTGGCAAATCCTCCAGGTCTCTGCCCTCCTGAGTAGCTAGGATTACAGGCCTGAGCCACCGGTGCCTGGCTCATTATCCCATTTTTATAGAAGAGGTCGGTAGAGGATACCCATGGGGGTGGGGAAGGGCTGAGCCGGGATCTCTGATCACATTCCAGGCGGGAGACTTTTCCTCCCAGGAAAGTTGGCCCATCAGGAGAAACTGAGCAGCCTTTTGCTCCTGCAGCTCAGCTCGAGCACGTGCCCGGCCCTGGCGGTTGCCTAGCAGCAGGGACCGCGCGTGCGTCAGGTGGTTGCCTAGCAGCGGGAGCCGAGGCCGGAGCATGGCCGCGAGCTCTTCGAGCATCAGCGAGCGAGTGAGCGAGAGCGCGCCCGGGACCGTGAGCGCGGCTGTGCGCGAGCACCTGCGGCAGCTGTGTCTGCGCGAGTTCCCGTGCGGCACCGGCAGCTGGGTGCGGGCGCCCGAGGGGGCTGAGGGACGCGCCAGGTGGATGGGAAAGACTCAGGGGCCGGGATGGGGCTCCCCAGCCACACACACTGAGCCGCCAGGGGCTTACTGGAGCCGCAGGACAGGTTGAGGGGCCTGGCTGAGAGCTAGATGAGTGTGTCAAGGGGGTTGGTTCCCTGTGAGACAAACGGTTCCCAGACCCAGGAACTGGCTGATTGCCACACCTGAGAGGAGGTTTGGATCTGGGCATTTCTAGAGCGTCTGACTTGGGGGCTAGAGGCAGCCCAGTGGGACTGAAGGAATGGGTGGGCTGGGCCCCCACCTGGGCCTGAGGCCAGTGACTCAGTGTAATGCAAGTCTCCTGCTGAGACCCTTCCGAGCACATCAGGCTGACCTGGACCAGGCCTTTTACTAGCCTAGAGACACCCTGCACCCCAGACTTCCAGACACCAGGCTTCTTTGGGTCAGAAGAGCTTTGGATTGGGCAAAGAATTTGTCAGTTGGGAGCTCTGGAGCACTGCATGATAACCCCAGCCATGTGGGAGATGGTTCCCCACAGCTTCTGAGGCTTTTGGGCTGGTGGACCTGCTCTTCTGAGGAATGGGCCAGGGCTTCTTGTCTCTGAAATCCAGGTCCTCCTGTAGCTATACCTAGAGAGGAGCCTGACAGCACTCAGAAAGACTTGGGCACTGAATGGCTCAGCTCTGCTTCCCCAGCTGAGAGGAAGCAGGAAATACAGCAAAGAGCGAAGTTGTCACGGTTTAAAGAAAAGTCTGGCTTTGCTTCCCATGAAGGTCCTTTTCGCTCTTATTTCAATCTGTACACCCATTCTGCAGATGGACCCTGCTCAGGGGGGCCATTGTTATCAACTGGTTGCCCAGGGTCGAGTCAAGGAGCATGACATTTAGACCCAGAGGCTCATCAGATGTACTTAAGAATGTCTTGAGAGGACTGATTGGGGATGATGGTTTTGGCTGGTGCCCAGCGCCTCTTGCACACTCTGTGCTAAGGAGTACAGCAAAGCTGGAGTTCTCTCTTTATAGGAAAACAGACACCAGTCAGGGAAATAATTCATCTCTTTAGTCAACAGATGTCAGTTGAGCACCTGCTAAATGCTAGGCACTGTTTCAAAATTGTATCTAGACTGGGAGTGTAGGGTCAGTGGTGGAGTGCTTGCCTTATGTGAATGAATAGATGGGGCTCTGGGTTCTATCCTCCACCCCCACACACAAAATCTAAAAAGACTTATCTCAACAACCACCTAGAGGAAGGTGTAGGAGAGAATAAATTCCAGGAACAAACTCTTATCTCCCACTTTCTTAATCTAGAGTTTTGGATGTGTCTTTCAGCCTTCCCACCTTTTCAGAAAAATTTCCCTGGATTAATTAATTATATCCCCCAGATTGCCTGTTGAGCCTCCTGGTTTGTAGTAACATGCCTTTGCATAAATGTGTCATATGTAATCTTTTACTTTGCATGCTCAAGGTTCCCACCTCCAGATAAACTGTAGGCAGGAACTGGTCCTCTTAATTATCTTGTATCTTCCCTTACCTATCGTTACATCCATAGCTATCATTAGTCACAGTTACCCAGATTTTTTAATTCTTTTTCCCCAGTCGTGTTTTGAGAGTTTTGACTCCTTAAGAGGGCTATGTCAAGGGGAGGGAGGATGAAGGAGAGCAGTGGAAGGGGTGAATTCAAGTATGATATATTTGATATATTATAAGAACCTTTGAAAATGCTACAATGTACCACCCCCAGCACAACAATAATAATAAAAAAAAGCACTATGTCAGACCCAGAGAAGTTTTCTACCTCTACCACTGCAGAATAAGTCAAGATTTCTTCCTCAAACATGGCGAACCTGGAAGGAGCTAGTCCCTAGGGAAGAGGAGACAGTGAGCCCTGGGGAGGAGACTGTAGAGGACCTGCTGGACCTGGTGCGCAGTCCCCACTCACCATGGGGTCTGCTGAAGGACTCCAGTTCCGAGGACCGTTTTCTGAGAGAACTGGCCATCCAAAATCCACTGATGCTCAAAGACACCTTCTTTTACTCCTACTTCCGGTCCCTGAGGGTGGTAGACAAGAAGGTGAGTGCTGGGAGCGGGTATCGGAATATCGGAATGTGGATGTGAGTGGAGTCTGAGGCTGAGGCCAATCCTGTCTTCTGTTCAGTTGAGCTTACCAGCATGTCCAGCAAAGCAGGCTTCCCAGCCATTCTTTGTTATGTATCTTCCCCCTTTGGCCCTTGGAGGGAGTCCATGCTGCATCTTCTACAGCTGAGTCCTGGCCTACCGTGGGCCCTCCTGGGTACTAATAAAGACCTTTCCAAGGGTCCACATTGATTTTTATTCACTCAGACCATGAAGACAGGGGCTGGGGATGCTGACATAGTGCTAACTGTGTTCATTTCCATTACTAAAAAACCTTCTTTGCTTGAACAACAACAGAACCCAAAAGTTGCAAGGATACTTGACTTCATCCTTCCTGGCCTTTGCTTCCTTTTCCAGAGAAACTAAGAGATAACACAGTGCTACAGGATGAGTATGGTGCCTGGGACTTTCCCAGCGTTATCACTGAAAGTTTTGTCTCAGGAAGCCCCTCCATCCTGGGCAAACTGGCAGAGTTGGCCACTTTGGGGAAGAGAGGCCCAGCCAGGAAGGGCTCCTGATGTCCTTCAGGGCACAGGGAACTGAAGATTCATGGGGAGGGTGCAGAGGCTTCTGGTCGGCCCTTGCTCTGTATAAACCAGAGTGACTTCGAAAGGCCTTCACTGACTTCAGGGCCAGGCAGGCAGTAGGGTCCAGGATTCAATGTGACTCTGGGGTCGGCAACAAAGAAGATGGGTTCCTGCCCTCCCAAGAACCTCACTATGCAATGAGGACATAGGACACTGACATGGAAGTCCTGCAATGCCTGCCAGAGAAGAGGGGTGAGGTTGGAAAAGACCCTTGAATCCCACAGAACCATGAAGTGTGGGAAAGGCTCACAGGAGGTTAGTGGGACTGGGAAGCCACTAGGAATAGATACACTATGTCACGTGTCCTTATGTAGGCTTCGTTTCTGCTCCAGTGCTGCCTGGCCCACTAGAACCTCTAGCCTCTTCATTTCTGTTCCAGGTAAGCATAGTGGATAAAGAGCTCCTGAAATTTCTAAAGCTTGAGGAGTTGATCCTGAGTGCCAATCAAATCAAGGAAGTTGATGCAGCTAATTTACCTCCAACACTCAAGGTACAGGAGTTCCTGCTCCATTTAGGGTCTTTGAGCCAGTGCCCCCAGACAGCCTTCCCCTAGCCTGCCCTGAACAGGTTTGGCCAGGGTCACTATGAGCTAAACCCAGCCCCAGGCTTTTAAAACAGACTGTGTTCCTCAAAAAATAAACATAAGGCAGGCATGGTGTTACATGCCTATAGTCCCAGTACTCAGGAGGCTGAGGCAGGAGGATCTTGAGTTCAAGGTCACCCTGAGCTACATAGAAGACCTAATTTCAAAAAAGAAAAAAAAGAGTGAAATGCAGAATTCCCAGCAATTCACTTCCTGGGCGTGTACCCATAAGAACTGGAGGAGGAACTCGAAAAGATTCGTGTTTACAATGTTCACAGCAGCGCTGTTCACAACAGCCCAAAGTTGGGAACGACCCAGGTGTCTATAACCAGGCGAATGGACACAGTGAATGTGGCCTGTCAATGCAGTGGAATATTGTTCACCCATAAAAAAAAAAGGACATTCTGAGAGTTGCTCTGACACAGATGAACCTAGAAAACATCATGCAAAGTGAAAGAGGCCAGACACAAAAGGACAAATCTTGTGATTACATGTGATGAAACCAACAGAAGCAAGTCCATAGTGACAGAGAGTCACTCTGATGAGAGGTCATCCAGTGCTGCGGGAAGGCAATGGGGAGGTGCTGCTCATTGGTTTCAGGGTTTCTGTTTGAGGTGGTGAAAAATTTTGGGAACAATAATGGTAATATAATATTAGGAATATGATTAATTCCACTGAGTTGCACACTTCAAAGTGGTTACAATGGCAAATTTATGTTATCTGTATGTTACCACACTTGAAAATTAGATGGAAAAAGGTAGGCCAGTTTTTATCATGAGTCTTCAGCTGAGCCCAGCAACACAACCCTCGTTTTATTAGATGCTGACGATAGCTGACCTAGTGGCAGAAGGGACTCCTAGGTCTGGCTCTGTGCCATGCTCAAGACAATGCCAGGCAAGGCCTTGCAAGAGACACATGGCCAGGGAGTAAACATCGGGTTTGTTCCTTGTTCCCTCTGGGTTGCTGTAGCTTTCCCATGACATTTCTATGAGTTGAGAAGGTACCAGATATAAGCATCTTCCCTCCTACCCACGCTCATCACTTATAGTTCCAACTTTGGAGTTGCCTTAATAAAAGGAAAAGAAACTTCCTAAACCACGTACAGTGGCTCACGCCTGTAATCCTAGCTACTTGGGAGGCTGAGCTTGGGAAGATTGCAATTTGAGGTCAGCAGGGGCAAATAGTTCGTGAGATCCCATATGCCAAATAACCAGAGCAAAAATGGACTGGAGATGTGATTCACACCTGCTTTGCAAGTGTGAAGCTGTAATTTCAAACCTCAGTCCCACCAAAAAATTTTTAAAAAGAAAAGAAACTTTCCCATCTGCTGCAGGAATTTTTTCTTCCTGCGTTTTTAAAAGGGAGCGCAGCTGGACACAGAAGACAAGATGTGAACAATTCATCCTTCCCTTTCTGAGTCTCCTAGCGCTGGAGGCAGGAAACTAGTGGCAGAATAGGCTGAGCACCTCCAACCACAGCCAACACTGTCACCTTTCAGGTGCTGGAGCTCTATGGCAACCTGATCACCAGCATGGAGTGTCTGTGTGCACACCCGCCCCCGAGGCTGCAGCACTTGGGACTTGGCCACAACAAACTGCTGGGCCCCCTTGAGAGTCTCTACTTCACCTCCCACCACTGGTAACTCAGGGGCCCGTAGGGGAGGGATTAGCAGTGGGTTTGGGTGACTCCACCCTGGAAGCCTGTCTGGGTTCAGACAAAATCTCACTGAAGTCCAGCGAAGAATGGGGGTGGGGAGTGGGAGGGAGAGGGATCTATAATTTAGAGCAGGGTTTCTTAGCTTGGCTCTGCTGACATTTCTGCCAATGACTCTTTGTTGTGGGACCATCCCGTGCAGTGTGGGATGTTTAGCAGTGTCCCTGGTCTCCACCCACTAGGTGCCAACAGCAGCTTCCCCCCAGCTCCACCCCTCCTTATGACAGCCAAAAATGTCTCCAGACAGGTATGCAGGGGCAAAATCACCCATATGCAAACCTCTGTCCTAAAGACAACTCATAGGAACACCACTGTCTGTGAAAAGGCAGTGTCCGTTAGAACTGTCCCTTTCTGCTTGTTGATGGTGGCTGTGCACTGGAAAACTTAAAATCCTGGATTTGTGAAATATAAAGGGTCAGAGGCCGCCCTCAGAAGACCATGATAGGGGGCTGGGCCGGAAAAGCTTCTCAGAGCACCCCGCAAGAAGCCTCAGGGTTTCTGTATTCTGGGGAGTCTGGCAAAGCTCCCTACTGCTTCCTTCTTCGCAGCCTGGGAGAGGGCACAAGGTCCACATCTGCATCACTCCATCACTCCACTCCTATCTGGCGGTTGCTCCTTGGGTGGTCCAGGTGTCATGGGAAAAGGAAGGCCCTTCTAGAACTGCGATTTCCTTCTTCCGCCCCATTCTCTGCTGCTCTCAGCCAAGTCACACAGTCATAGCCAAGTCTGATTGGGAATTCCTTCTTCCATCACCATGACCATCAGGACCTAGCACAGACAGGAAACCATGCACCGTCCTTTGACAGCAGAAATGTCTGGCTTTTGATCCGGAAATCGTATTTCTGTGACCTGTGGCTTAATGCCGAATATGGATTTCAGGGGAAGCATGTGTAAAGCCTCCATCTTTCTCTGTTTTGGAATTTAAAGGAGGGCACATTTCCCGTGAATCGATTTTGCTTATGTTTCCCCAGTTCTCTTGAAGGAGGCTGACATTAGGTTAAGGCTGTGTGCTAATCCCCACGAAATGTTCCTCTTGTGTATTTCCCACTGACTGGCCAGTTACCATCATGAGAGGAAGGATCTGAGTTCAGCCTGTGTTTGTAGGGTGTCAGTGAAAGATGATGCTGACAGGCCTCCTGATGTTTCTGGCCTCTGTCCTAGAAGCTGGAGTCAGTTTGCTTTGAAGCTTGTGGCAGTGGGAGAAGCCACTCTGTGCCTGGTCTTCACCTGAGGCCCTGAGTTTCCTCTTTGCCTGCCTTTCCTGCCCCTTCCCAGGCTGGCTGGGGAGCACTTCCTTTGCCCTTGCTGGCTGTTCTTCAGTCACATACTCCAGGAAATGAGTCAAGAAGCTTCCAGTGGCCATAACCAGTATGACTTTGAAGAGTGTCCTCCAACTTGACCTACAGCCTCCTGCACCCTCCCCCCTGGTTCCCAGGTGACGTTCAGTCTGTCCACAGGGATTTGTAGAGAAACTTCCAGGGACATAATACTAGGCTAGACATTTGGCTGAGAGGAGTGGCTCGATGTGAGTGGGAGTCAGATGGGGCAGGCTGTGCATCTGTCCAGGTCTGGTGCTTTCCCCTGCTCATCAGGTGGCCTGCCCCCTTTCCAGGCCCAACCTTGTCTCCCTGGATCTGGGCTTCAACGACCTGACGGACCTACAGGGCATGATGGCCAGCCTCAGCACACTCCAGCACCTGCGGCTTCTGGTGCTGCAGGGAAACCCGCTGGCACTCGTGCCCTACTACCGCGGCTTCACTGTGGACAGCCTGGTGGGCCTGTCTGTGCTGGACGACGTCACTGTGCCTCCCAGCGAGAAGCACCAGTTCAGGGAGCTCAGCCGTAGTGGTGGTGGGTATGGCCGAGGAGGAGAGCCAGGCGATTGTCCCCGCATCCCAACCCCTGCCTGTGCCCACCTGCCTCAGACTCCCCATTCGACCTCAACCCTGGTCAGGTGTAGTGTAGCCTGGTCAGGGTTTTCTCCAGAGTTGATCCCTGGGGCTGGGACTTGGCGCCTCCACAGTTCTTTGTTTCCTCGCTGCGATGGTGGCTTGAGATCCCCCCCTTGTGGCCCATGGCGCAAGGTGCATCAGAGGTTTCCACGGGTCAGTGATAAAATCCTGATCCCTGTGGACATGTGCTGGGGTGGCCAATAACCCTGACTACTCACCCTCTCAGAGCTGTTCTGACCCGTCAGGAAAACCAGGCTTTGAGGGCTCCCCTGACTTATCCCATTCACTCCCATTGAACCTGGCACAGCTGGCACTGGAACCCCTGAATGGAGGGGAGGACTCACAATCCATTCCTTCCTCTGCTGCTGTCTGTCTGCCGGCTTCCAGCCCCACATCCCTCAGTCCTGCCATTGTTCCTTGCAGACCTCCTGCCACGTGAGGCACAGTTTGTGGTGACTATTGGAAATGTCAAGGGGGTTATGGACTCCTCTGTCTTGGACCCGGAGCCAGGCCCTGAAGGCCCCTTTGTCACCTACAGATATTACGTGACCTACGACTTTGTGGAAGATGAGGGAGGTGAAGGGAGTGAGTATGGCGGTGTGCTGGCTGAGGTGCGTCCCTGCTTATCTTGGGGATAGGGTGGACTCTGTGCAGATAGACCCAAGGGGGTTCTTGGTCAGGCAGAACAGCATCTTGGTGCCCAGGAAAATCCATAACACAGATTCATGCCCATACTTCATGAAATGACCTGGCTCCAACCCATGTCCCCCCACAGCCAACATGATTCTGAACCCTGCATTCTTTGTTCCCTGTGACATCTGAGTCATCCAGGGAGCAGCTCGATGGGGGCGTAGCTCATTGATAGAGTGTTTGCCTACTATGCGTGAGGCCCTGGGTTCCAGCCCCAGCACTTAAAAAGAAAAAAAAGAAAAGAAAAGATCCAATAGAAATCATCCAGATGCTTACATCAGACACTCACTGAATGGAGCCTTCTGGCAGCCTTGGCCTTGTGATACGTCTTTCCTGGCAGATTGTCAAGCCCTCCCCCAGCTCGGAACTGCCAGGTGAGGAAATTGATGAACAGTCTTCTGAGGAGGCCATGAAGGAGGTCACCGAAGAGGTGGACGAGGAGTTTCCTGAAGAGTTGGGTGAGGAGTCCCTGGAGTCAGGAATAACTGAGCTGGGAGAGGAGTCGGACTTGTCGCTCATCTCAGGGCACTCAGCACCCCTGACACAATCCATAAGTTCTGCAGAAGAGCTGGCAAAACTGCGGCCACGAATAGATCCCCGGCTCTGCCCATCCCCAGGGTAAGGCTGGGACCTGGTCAGGAGCAAGTTGGGGTTCCCAGCTAGCCTAGGCTGCACCCTCTTCCTCCTCCTCACTCCAGAGTGTCCCCAGGAGTGACCAAAGCCATATTCTCTCATTAGCTGGCCCCCAGGCTATGAACTATGCAGGCTGGGTGTGGGGTGAGTGTTTGACCCTCCTTTCTTGGAGACCTAATCTTCTGCTGAAAGCACAGTTGAACCCCAGGTGCCTGGATGTGAGCATGGTGTGGTTGGTGCGTGCCAGTCAGTAATCCTAGCAATCAGGAGGCTGAGGCAGGAGGAGCTCCAGGCCAGACTGAGCTACATAGTGAAACCCTGTCTCCAGGGAAAAAAAATAATATGTTCTATATACTGATTTGAAATTTACTTATTCCACATGTGGCTAGAAACGTATAGACCTGTTGTATTCTTTTTTAAGTGAATGATTAAAGTATAACTCCATACAGAGAGGTGTACTTCTGACGCACAGTGGTGAGGACACATCTGTAACCACTACTTGAAAAGAAATAGATTCCCCCTGAGGCCCCATTATGCCCATCCCAACCTTCCCGCCTTCCCCTCCCCAAGGGCAGTGTTGGCTCAGCTTCCAACACCATTAACCAGTTGCTATTTTACAGTTTTACACAAATTAAACGATATAGTATTCTATTGTATCTGGCTTGTTTTGCTCAAAAACTTTTTGGTAAGCAGGGTGCTGGTGGCTCACGCCTGTAATCCTAGCTTCTCAGAAGGCAGAGATCAGGAGGATTGAGGTTTGAAGCCAGCCAGGGCAAATAGTTTTTGAGATCCTATCTTGAAAAAAAGCTTCACAGAAAAGGGCTGGTGGAGTGGCTCAAGTGGTAGAGCACCTGCCTAGCAAGTGTGAGGCCCTGAGTTCAAACCCTAGTATGGGAAAAAAATAAAAATTTGTTAAAAGATTCATCCAGTTCCACTTCTGTACAGTTTGTGTTTGTTGTGTGAATTCATTTAGTGCATAGGATATCTTTTTCTGGCTCTTTAGTTCCAACTGAATAACACTGAATTGAAAATGTGTCTCTGACAGACAACATCTAATTGGATTTTTTTCTTAATCCAGTCTGATAATCTCTGCCTTTTTATTTGATTATTTAATCCGCTCACATTTAGTATGTGAATTGCTTTCTCTGTATCATGATTATTTCTTTCCCCTTTCCTCTTTACTTTCTTCTTTTGTGCACTAGTGGATATTTTACAGTGTACCATTTTAACTCATTTAATGATTTTTAAAAATATTTTTGAGTTAGTTCTAAATTGTTACTCTATTGTTTGCAACATACATCTTATCAGACTCTACTACAGATTTATGTTATTTTAGTAAGGATTGAAATTTATTCCTATGTACCTCCGTTCCCTCTCACCTTTTGTGCTATTTTTGTTATAAATATTATAGTTGTGATAAATATTCAAAAATTTATTATTACCATATATTACAGACAAAATAGTACATGGTTATAATTATAGCTTTATACAACCCATGTCATCAGAGAAGAAAGCAGAGCACAGATAGATATGTATGTGTGTGTGCTTTTAAGCTTTTTTTTTTTTATTATTGTTGTACTGGGAGTATGTTGATACATTTACAAAAGTTCTTACAATATATTAGTTTGAATTAACTCCTCCATCATTCTCCTTTATCCTCTCTCTCCTCCATTTCTGGAACAGTTTCAGTGGGTCTCATTTTCCCACTTTCATACATGAATACATAATATTTCAACCATATTCACCCTCCTACACCCTTTCCTTATTTCCTCCTCCCTTCCAGTGGTACCAGCCCACAGACAGGACCTGTTTTACCTTCCTGTTCTCTGTTTTTGAAAAAAGACATCTTTAAGATGCTGTACGGGGGTTTCATTGCGACATGACCATGTATGGACGTATTATATGGAGCAGGCTCTCTCCACCTGAGCTACACCTCCAGCTCTCTCATTTTATTATTGAGACAGGGTCTTGCTATGTTGCACAGACTGGCTGCAAACTTCTGGACTCAAGTGATCCTGGCTGCCTCAACCCCCTGAGTAGCTGAGACTATAGGCACTCACCACCAATCTCAGCTTCACTGATTTTAAAATCAATTATTGGGAGGTGGAGAGAGAAGGATCACAGTTGAAGATAAGCCTAGACAAAAAGTTTGCAAGATCCTATCTCAAAGAAAAAGCTAGGCATAGTGGTCCATACCTGTAATCCTAGCTATGCAATAGGCATAATAGGTAAGAAGATGGAGGTCTGAGGTCAGCTCTGCACAAAAGCACAAGACCCTATCTGAAAAATAACTAAAGCACAAAAGGCTGGAGGAGTGACTCAAGTAGCAGAGTCACTTACCACTTAGCAAGCATAAGGCCCTGTGTTCAAACCCCAGGGCCACAAACAACTAATTATTATTGCCGCATGTATTCCCATCCTCTGTGTGTCCCTTTTTTAACATTGGATTTGCCACAGTTGTTTTGCACAGTTCAAAAGCCCTGCACCTACACAACTGTTTTTTGTTTGCTTATTTGTTTTGTGGTTCTAGGGCTTGAACTCAAGGCCTACACCTTGAGCCACTCCACCAGCCCTTTTTTGTGTGTGTGTGTGTGTGTGAAGGGTTTTTCAAGATAGGATCTCATGAACTATTTGTCCAGGCTAGCTCTGAACCAGGATCCTCCTGATCTCTGCCTCCTGAGTAGCTAGGATTACAGGTGTGAGCCACCAACGCCTGGCCTGTATCTCTTATGGTTTTAGTAATGTTCAACTAGGAAAAACTTTAAATTTGTTATCGTAAATCTCCTTCATGCTTTGATTCCATTGTTAAAGCAATGGTAAGTGACTCCCAACTGGAACACTGCTTCTGGGCTGCCACGCTGCCCTAAAATGACTATAAGTGATCCTTGAGGCCACAGGTCTGGTCTGGGCACTAGCAGAAAATGTCTCTGCTCTGACTCATATCTTATGCTTCTGAGAATTGTTGCTTTCCAATGTGCTTTAAAAATCCACTGGCACTGATAACTCATTCACTCATTTATCAGCATATCCATCCCTAAGATACCATCTTGCTGTTCCAGGAACTAGACCAGGTGTGTGAAAATGAAGAATGCCACACTGCCTTCCTGGAGGCAATTGTTTACGATCGTCTCGATGGGGAGGGTTAAAACAGGCACAACATCTATGTGTAACTCTTTGAACCTCTTTTTTTTTTTTTTTGGCAGTACTGGGGTTTGAACCCAGGTTCAAAGTAGCTGAAGTATCCAGTTTCGTGGTGTTATGTAATTCACATACAACCATCACCACCAACCTCCACAACTTTTCATCTCCCCAAACTGGACTCTGTCCCATCAAACACTCGCTCCGGCTGGGCACCAGTGGCTCACATCTATAATCCTAGCTACTTGGGATGAGAGGATTGTAGTTCCAGGACAGCCTGGGCCAAAAAGTTTGCAAGATTCCATCTGAATGGGAAAAATCTGAACGTGGTGGCCCAAGTCTGTCATCCCAGTGAAAGCAGGAAACATAAAATCGGAGGTCCAGGTCAGCCTGGGCAAAAAGTGAAATCCTGTCTCCAAAATAACCAGAGCAAAAAGGGCTGGAGGCATGCCTGAAGTGGTAGAGCACCTGTCTAGCAAGTGCAAAGCCCTGAGTTCAAATCCAGTATTGCCCCCCAAAATACTACTAACTCCCACCTTCCCTGCTGTCCAGTTCTGGCACTCCTCATTCCACTTTTTGTCTCTATGGGTTTGACCAGATGCCCTACATAAATAAAATCATGGCACTTGCCCCGTGGGGTCTGGCTTATTTCTGAGCGTGACAAGTTTCCAAGACTCATGTATGGTGTAGCCTGTGTCAAGTCTCCTTGTTTTCTAAGGCTGGCTGCTCTTCTATGGCGTGGGGCGTGGGAAAACATTTTTTGTTTATTCATTCATCTGGTGAGGGACATTGGGTTGTTTCCACCTTTTGCCTATTGTGAACAATGCTGCCACGAGTGCTGGTATACAGATTTTATTCTGTACTCTTTAGAATGCTTTCTTTCCCTTCCTGGTGAATTTCCACATTCAGTTTGTCAAGCCCCATGACATGACTCAGAAGAATTTTGATTGCTGTTAGAGTGTCATTTTGTAGGGACTCAGGGAAATTTTAATGATTCTACTTTTTACTTCACTGTGATCATCTTTTTCAAACCTTTGATGCATTTCTGGTTGGTTTCCATTAGTCGCCTGTGCAGAGCCAAGGGTGGAAGTCTCCATGGGTGCTCATTTTGCCTTCCTGGCCTTCTGATCCTGTGCCCTGTTCAGTGGCATCTGGGCCCCTTGCCTCACACTGTTTGTGGTGCTCATAGTCCCCTCACCGCTTGTCCAGGCTCCCAGCCACAGCCCCTCATGATAGCGCCATGTCTGCATCTCCCCCTCAAGGACAGTCCTCTTTAGCACCGTCCCCAAGCCGTGGGCTGAGGTCATTCCCTGCGACTATGAGATGCAGCACACCCTCAGGGACCTGGTGCCGGTCAAGGCCTTCCTGCTGGCGGGGACCACAGTGACCATTGTGGAGGAGAAGGTGGGTGGAGCAGGCAGGCAACTGCCCACTTCCCACTGTCTAGAGTGCCTTCAAGTCCCCTTCCCTCTGCTCTGGCTTCTTTCAGACTGTCCTTCACCCATCCCCTTGTTAGATGCTTCTTGGTGCCTTTCCAGAAAGGTCAGGGGAGAAGTGACCCCAGCCAGCCCCTGGTCACTAGAGGCTGTCTGCTGTCACCTAGGTTCTCTCATGGCCTTTGTTGCCACCTGTTGAAAGTCCCTTGCATGCCAAGAAAGGAAAAGGAGAGAGTGACAAGGCGAAGAAGGAGAAAGGAAAGAAAGGGAAAGTGGAGGTCCCTAAGGTATGGCCCTGCTGGTCTGTGGCATGGGCCCCTGTGGAGGGGATGGGAGCCTGGCCTGTCCCTTGCCTGGCACTGTCTCACCCTCCTGACTCCCCCACAGGACACGAAGGCGCCCAAGAAGAAGAGAGAGCCCCCCAAGGATCTCCGGCATGACCCACCTATCCTGCAGGTGGTGGGCCATGGGACCGTGATGCTAGAGCCCTTGCTGGTGGGGGAGCCGGTGGTGTCCACTGTGTGCAACTTTGGTGTGGTCCGCACCCCAGAATACGAGAAGCTGATACTTGCCAGGGTACAGTGGGGCCCCAGCATGCCCTTCTGTATCTGCCTTTGCCCTCCCCACCGAGAGCTTGCTGGGCAAGGCAGAACTATGGGCCAGGTCAGGGGGCTTGGGGCTCGGGGTGGACTGAGCCATGCATCAGGCTCCTGGTGTGCCCCCTCCATGCTCACTGGCTATCCAGAAGCTCCTCCTCAGGTGTGACCCAGGTCAGGTCCCCTCACCATCAGGAACCACCCCCCACCGAGGCAGCCCCTGGTCTGCATCTGTACCTCCCCTGCAGTTCCCATTCCAGTAAGCAGCTTGCTTTGCGGTTCTGTCTCTCAGGATTCAAAGAAGACGAAGAGAGCTGCCAAAAAAAGTAAGAGCCCCTGGGGTGTCACTGCGTGGGGGCCGGGGGGCACCCAAGGCCCCGCTAAGGGAGCCGCCATGATCTGGGCCACGGGACTGGAAGGAGGAGAATTTTATCTTCCAGCTGGTGGAATGGCTACGTCCACTCAGAGGACCAAACCCTGTAGCATCCCAGCAGCCCCCAGACCACAGTCCCCTGTGAAGGTGTGGGAAAAGGCATATGGGGCTGAGGCCAGATGGGGGGAGAGGAGGGTTGGGGCCCAGGGTCCTCCGGCTCCAGCAATGATTGGCCAGAGAAAGAGCCTGGGTTTATTGTATGAGTGCCCGCTGAAGTTTCTGCTCTAGGTAAGTTTTAGATTTGAGTTTCTTTTTCTTGTTTTGTTCTTGTTTTTGAGACAGGGTCTCATTAAGTAACCAAGGCTGGCCTTGGACTCCACTGGGTAGCCCAGGTTGGCCTCAAACTTGCCTTTCCCCTGCCTCAACTTCCCAAAGTGTGGATTTGAGTTTTAAAAAAGAGTCATCTGGCTTGGAGAGATGAGAGACGAGACCTGCTGTGGGGCCATTGCGAAAGCATGAGACAAGACCATTATTTATTACAGCCAAAAAGTGGAAACAGTGCAACAATGCTAATGTCTAGCCACTGATAAATGGTGTGGGAGGGATGTGGTACGACCGTACAATGAAACATCACTCAGCCATAAAAAGGAAGGAAGTTCTGACACAGGCTACAATGTGGACACGTTTGAAATTACAGTGATGAGTGAAAGAAGCCAGGCCCAAAATGTCACAGTTATAATGTTCCATTTATTTTAAATCTCCATAATAAGCAAATTCATAGAGACCGAGAGTGAATTCATGGTTGCTGGGGTGGGGAGGAAATAGAGAGAGACTGGTGGGTATGGGGTTTCCGTGTGGGGTGACAAACACGGGATGGAAATTGATGGTGATAGTTGCACAACATTGTGACTAGGCTAAGAACCTCAGAATTGTAGGTGTTAAAATGATTAAAATGGCTGGTGCCAGCAACTCACTCCTGTAATCCTAGCTATTTGGGAGGCTGAGATCTGGAGGATCACAGTCTGAGGCCAGCCCGGGCAAATAGTTCAAGAGACCCTATCTTCAAAATAAGTAGAACAAAATCGACTGGAGGTGTGGCTGAAGTGATAGAGCACCTGCTTTGCAAGCATGAAGCCCTATGTTCAAACCCCAGTTCCCCCCAAAAAACAACAAACAAAAAGGTGAACGTCTCCTTCTGAGAATCTTTTATCTCAATGAAAAAAATTCACCTTAAAAACATGTCAGAGTTTTGAGGGGGGCAGGGTGTGTGGAGCCTGGTGCCTGCCCCACTAGGAAAGGTGGCACAGGCTGAGCAGCTGCTCTGGGGAGTGAGCCGTGGTGATGTGTGACGTACGTGTGGGGCATCTAGAAACCCCTTCCTCCCTGCCTGGGTGACTCTGTCCCCTGTCTCCCTCTCCTCTTGCCCGGGTCAGACCTCCTGGTTCCTCACTCACTCCAGGCACTTGCCTGCTCACCAGACCTCTGTCCTTCCACCCAGACCCTGGGGGCCTCGTCCCAGGTCTCCTTGGGAAGCTGCAGGTCCAGTTGAAGTGCTTGTGGCTTCCCGCGTACACATCACAAAGGCCCTGAGTTTGCTCAGAAAACTGCACTTGCCACCCTCTCACTCAGCTTCCAGGACTGTCCCCGCTTCCGTCTTCAGGTGAGGGTGGGCGCTCCCCTCTGTGTACATGTTACAATGCTGCCATATGAATGTCAGTCTGTACTCTATGATCCTTCAATGCTTGTCCCCTACATTGGCAGCTATGGGAGGGCAGCGGTTGTGCCTGTATTACTTGTTTAGTCTTGTAGTCCTCAACATCCACCCTCGTGTTAGTCCATCAGCAAACACTGAGTGAATGAATGAGATTCTAGGAGGCAATTAACGCCACAAAATTGCATGAGTGCAGGTTGACAAAGAAAAAAGGGTCGAGCACAGCACTCTGGGAAAACCACAAATTTTGATCAGGAAGGGCAAGAAAGACCTGAAAGGACCAAACCTGACTGTATTTTAGAACAAAAGGATATTTCTAAGAATACAAAGAGCAGGGCTCTCGTGGCTCAACCTGTAATCCCAGCTACTCAGGAGGCAGAGATCAGGAGGATTGTGGTTCAAAGCCAGCCCTGTGTCTGGTAGAACAGCTCAGTGGTAGTAGAGCACCTGCCTAGCAAGTACGAGGCCCTGAATTTAAACTCCAGTGCCACCCAAAAAGAAAAAAGGAACACACTTCTAAATAACCTGTGGGTCAAGGGAAAAAACCAAAAGGGAAATTAGAAGAACTGAATGAAAATGAACCCACAAAATATCAATATTAGTGGAGTGCAACTAAAGCTGTATTTAGACGTGAATTTATAGTCCTAAATGCCTATGTAGAAAAGCTTCGAAAACTAATCAGTGCTTAAGAATTAATTATACATCTACATGAGCACGTTGAAATTCCCATAATATCATTGGCAATACAATGGAAAAATGTGAAACAGGAATACATTTTGACAAAAGAGGAGGAAGTGCTGTCCACTGAAAACCACAAAACTTGCTGAGAGAAACTAAAGACCCAAATAAATGGAGAGAGAGAATATGAATCAGAAGATTCAAGAGCGTTAAGATGTTGGTTTTCCTCGAATGAGCTGTAGATTCAACAGAATCATGGTTCTGGCAGGCTTTTTAATGTTCTTTTATAGAAATCCACAAGCAGATTATGAAATTTATAAGAAAAGAACCAAACGCGCACACACATGCAATTTTAGAGAAAGAACAAAATTAGTGGGGTGCCAGTGGCTCATGCCTGTAATCCTAACTGCTTGGGAGGCTGAGATCACGAGGATCGCAGTATGAGGTCAGCCTGGGCAAATACTTCTCAAGGACCCATCTCCAAAACAACCAGAGCAACATGGACTGGAGGCATGGCTCAAGTTGTAGGGTGCCTGCTTTGCATATATGGACATATATGTGTGGCACTTATCTTTGAGGATAAGACAGTTTTAAAGGTTTTTGAAATACATTTTTGTCTTCAATGTCTGGCTTGAGCACAGCTGGATTCATAGTGCTTTGCACCAAGTTCTTGTGATATGTTGCTGTCGTGTGTGTGTGTTTGTGTGTGTGTGTGTGTGTATGTGTGTGTGTGTGAAGAAAAAGAAAATCCAGGATCACACCAACACAAAACTGGAAAATAGGGGAGGGGTGCTGTGGGTTTTTTTGCAAGGTCTGGAGCTCAGTAGCAAGTGCTGTACCACTGAGCTGCATCCCCTGCCCCAAGGGGAGTGAACAGGCTTTCAAATAACTTTCTTCCTTGATATAACTTTCTTCCTTGATATTACAGCACATTTGTCAGATGCTAGTTTCTTAAGCTTTATTATTATGTGAATACTAAACCAACATTGATGAGTTTTTTCCCTAATGCATTGGTTCTGAAAGTTCATTGATCTGCTTTGCTTTTGGTTTTGATGGTACTGGGGTTTGAACTCAGGGCCTCACGCTTGCTAGGCAGGCGCTCTACCACTTGAGCCACTCCCCCAGCCCTTCTTTGTGAAGGGTTTTTTCGAGATAGGGTCTCGCAAAGTATTTGCCCGGGCTGCCTTTGAACTTCGATCCTCCTGGTCTCTGCCTCCTGAGTAGCTGGGACTGAGCCCCCCAAGCCCTGCCCCCAATCGCATTCTTTAATGCCATACCCACATCGTTAGAACAGCTTCTCCCCCTTTTTATTTTTAAGAACATTCAGGTCACGTGGCCGATACCATGTTCCAAAATCCTAATTTCTACCTGAAAGCTAAGCTGTAAAACACATTTATCTACCAAAATGCTTTCAGTCAGTTGTTTTCCCTGCAGAGCCAGAACGTCTTCATCTTTTAGAAAACGTTTGCCAAACAGCCAAGAGTGACTGTCCATAGCTTGTCAGTGTCCTGCCACTCAAAAAGCAGCTAATTTGTCTCGTGATTCAAAATAGCTGCGTCGTACTAACTGCTGTGGTTGACAATGACTTTCTTTTATCCCTATTCCTGTTCGCACCGACTGGAGGCTGCGCTGGGCTGGGACGGAGGACCGGGCGGCCCGGCCCCGCGGCCATGGCGTGTCCGTCTTTCCTCAGGTAAGACGAAGCTGACGGCCCCGGCCTACGAAGGCGTGCGCCCGCCGGAGCCGCTGACGGTGGAGATCCAGATCCGGCTGAGCCAGTGCCGCAGCGCGGAGGAGGCGCTCGGCATGCTGGCTGTGTAGGCGCGGCAGAGTAAAGGCTGTGCGAGGATCCGGCCTGCGCGTCCGTTTGTCCTGGCGGGGGAAGGGTGTGGGGTGGGCCGCCCGCGGGTTCCTAGCGGCGTCCAGGGGCGGAGAAGCGGCCGTGTGCGGCGTGCTGGAGGCGCGCGGGGCCGGTGCACCTGGGGCTGCAGGCGCGGGAGGCGCGCGGGGCCGGTGCACCTGGGGCTGCAGGCGCGGGAGGCGCGCGGGGCCGGTGCACCTGGGGCTGCAGGCGCGGGAGGCGCGCGGGGCCGGTGCACCTGGGCGGGCTCGTGCTGGCCCCGCCTTTGCTCGAGGCCCCGCCCACCGCCCGAGCCCCGCGACGCTCCTCGCCCCGCGGAGCAGGCTTCTCTGCGTTGTCCGACCCCGGCGTCCTGCTCAGGTAGGTTCGTGGGGTCTCGTCGCGCAGGGCTTGGGGGTCCCTGGATCCCGGTGCTGGGTTGCTGGGAGGGCGGAGGGGGGACGAGGGGTTGCGTGGGGCTCTGCCCCCCGCGTCCGCTGCGGCCCGGTTCTGGCCCGTGGGCCGCTAGGCTTTCCCTCCCCGGGCCGCGTGGCCGCCGCTGCGCTCTGGCCCTGGCGATGTCCCCAGGGGTCAGGCCCTGCTCTAGCGACCCAAACCCCGTCCGTCACCTGACAGCCCTTTAGAGACTGGCTTTGAACGAATGAACCCGACTTGGCCCTTTCCCGCATCGGAGCGTGTGGGGTCACCGCGTGAGGACTGGAGGCGTTGACTGACACTCGTGCAGCCCCCCAGGACTCTGCACCGCACACCCTCGGGGCGGAGCAATGGCCCTGGAGGGACCGGGGTTGGGCGCGGAAGGGGCTCGGTCCCAGCCTTGCGGGGGACGGTGGGGAGCTTCGGCGGCGGAGGGCAGCGGGCTGAAGCGGAGTGGGCGGCCTGGGACCGGGACAGGCCACCAGCGCCGCAGCGCACCAGTCCGCCCTTCGGAGACGTCGCGGCAGACAGTGCTGGCCTCGCGGCACAGATGCGGCACACCTGCGATCCATTCCCACCCGAGACGGTCACGCTCGTCACCCCTGGCCAGCCCCGCCTGGCAGCCTGCCTGAGAGCTCCCGAGCTGGCCTCCCCGGGCCCACATCCTGCCGGCTAAGGCACCGCGGCCTGGCGGGAGCGTCCTTAAAATAAGGGAAACTTGGACTGGGGCGTGGCTCAAGCTGCAGAGCGCCTGCCGAGGCCCCAAGTTCAAATCAGCTTCCCGCCCCATTTACTCTCCGCCACAGCCCCCCGCGTGGACGCCCCCCGCTGCTTCCACGCACTCTCCTCCCCGCTCACCGCGCCCTTCCAGTTCCTCATTTTCCTCGCAGGCTGGGCTCCTAACCCACTCTTAACGAGCTTCCCCCTGCCACCCACTTCCTCAGATTTTATGAGGCTTAAAGCCTTGCTTCATGCAATTATTGCCCAAATGTCCTTTCAATCAAGGGGGACTTTCTCAGCTGGCTTAGGTACTGACCTTGCCCTACGTTTCTTTCAAAAAATAATTTTTTGGCCGCACTGGGGTTTGAACTCAGGGCCTCACACCTGCTAGGTAGGCACTCTACCACTTGAGCCACTCTTACAGTCTTTTGTAGTGATGGGCTTTTTTTTTTTTTGAGATGGGGGTCTCTCGGACTGTTTGCCTTGGGTTAGCGTCACACCACGACCCTCCTGATCTCAGCCTCCTGAGAAGTTAGGATTACACAAATGAGCCACACTTCTCTGCACATCTGGCTGGTGTTGGTTTTGGCCTGTCTCTTTAAATGAGGTGACCCTGCTGTGGCTGCATGGCTAGCACTAAAAGAGATGACAGGTAGACTGGTTAGAACAGAAAGTAACGGAAATAGAAAGGAACTGGAGCGACCACAGGATACAAAGTGGAGAGCCTGGCTACTGTGGACCTTGGGCAGGTTACCCCCGTTATTTTCTCATCCTCCTTGGGTTTCAGGGACTTCAGTTAAGTGGTATGAAGAGGGAGGGTGGCAGGTTGCCTCGGAGTCATGTGTCCCCACTACAATCTCTATTTTCTAGCATGCTGTGTGATTTTGTCCCAAACCCTGGTTTAGTGGACTCTCCAGAAAACCAGACCCAGGCAGGGGTGTTCCCTGGTGGCCCCCAACCTGCTTTCCCTGCAGTGCAGGGTCTCCTGGGAAACCTCAAGCACAGTGCCTGCACAGAGGTCAGGCCACAACTCAATTTTTGTGCAGAACTCTGACTTGAGACATAGTATTCGATGCTAGGTTTCATATTTACTGAATTTGACCCCCCCAAGGCTAAACTGTCGCCATTTTCAGTAAAACCCCATGGGGTGCTTGAGTGTCCTGGGAAAGGCTGAGAATGTTTATGGTGTCTAAAAATAGCTGCCAAGTCACTTGGGAGAAAATGCTGATCCCTGGGCCCTCCCTTAAGATGGCAGAAGGCAGGCAGGGCTGGCAGAGCAGGTGCGCTTCATCTTTCTCCAGGGAGCAGCTCTGGGAAGTGCCAGAGGATTCGCTGCCAGCAGGGACTGAGGCTTGGGGCTGGCAGCAACTCTGCTGGCTCTGAAGGATAGGGCCCAGGGCGAGCTTGGCTCAGGTGCTCTCTCCCCACAGGGCCTCGCCATGGTGTGCAGGCCAGGGTGGCTGCTGCTGTACAGCGTGGTGGTGCTGCTGCTCGGCTGCCTGCTCTTTCTGAAGAAGGCGGCCATACCATCAGGAACCCCTGCAGTCCACCAGCCTTTCTCGGCCTCGCCATGGCCCCATCGCAGCCAGTGCCTACCCAACCTCTCAGTGGCTAATGCCTCCCTGTCCCTGCCCAGCCGTCACCGCCTCTTTTTGACCTATCGACACTGCAGAAATTTCTCCACCTTGCTGGAGCCTTCTGCCTGTGCCAAGGACACCTTCCTGCTCCTAGCCATCAAGTCACAGCCTGGTCACGTGGAGCAGCGTGCAGCTATCCGAGGCACGTGGGGCCACGCGGGGAGCTGGGCCCAGGGCCGGAAGCTGAAGCTGGTGTTTCTCCTGGGGGTGGCAGGACCGACACCCCCAGCCCAGCTGTTGGCCTATGAGAGCTGGCAGTTTGATGACATCCTACAGTGGGACTTCACTGAGGACTTTTTCAACCTGACGCTCAAGGAGCTGCATTTCCAGCGATGGGTGGCAGCTGCCTGTCCCCATGCCTACTTTACACTGAAGGGGGATGATGATGTCTTTGTTCATGTCCCCAACGTGCTGGAGTTCCTGGATGGCTGGGACCCAGCCCAGGACCTCCTGGTGGGTGATGTCATTCGCCAGGCCCTGCCCAACAGGAACATCAGAGTCAAATACTTCATTCCGCCCTCCATGTACAGGGCCCGCCACTACCCGCCCTATGCGGGGGGTGGAGGCTATGTCATGTCCAAAGCCACCATGGGGCACCTCCACACAGCTGCAGAGGAGGCTGAACTCTTCCCCATTGATGACGTCTTTGTGGGAATGTGTCTGACAAAGCTGGGTGTGAACCCCACCCACCATGCTGGCTTCAAGACATTTGGAATCCGGCAGCCCCTGGATCCCTGCCTGTACAGAGGGCTCCTGCTGGTGCACCGCTTCAGCCCACTGGAGATGTGGACCATGTGGGCACTGGTGACAGATGAGGGGCTCAAGTGTGCAGCTGTTCCCAAGTCCCAGTTCTGAAGGGTAGGTTGAGCAACAAGCTTAGGATGAACAAAATGGGAACACTTGAAATTCCTTGGGAAATGCTAACTTCCTTTGTGTAAACCCTCCTACCTTGTTGCTCTGATTAAAAAACACTGAAATGTGACAACTTGTCCAACAATTGTTGAATGGAAGCAACTGCTGCCAGTATGGCCTAGGGCTCTGACCATCTGGGATGCTGTCTATGGCCCCAGAAAACACACACACTTTTTTTAAATGCAAAAATTCTCCGTTGGATGCAATAAAAGGAACTCAAAGAAGGAACAAAAAACAAGCAGCATGGGTAGGGTACGTCCTATTGAGCACCAGGTGAACACTGCATTCATTCCTAGTAAGACTCCTTGGCCTGTCAGAAGGTATTACAAATGCTTAAAAAGAAATCTAACTGGATAGGCTCCCTTTCTCTCCAAAACTCATATCCCAATGGAGAGAGCTTTAAATTGTATTTGAAAATCTGAGTAAGATTAAAAAAACAGGTTAAATAGCTATTGAACTTGAAAAGGACCCCTCTCTCTGGCCCACTTTGTTTAAAGATCAGGGAGAGAGAGCAGCTGTGCTGAGGGGGTGCAACGTTAAACAGGGTAGAGTGCCTGGGGGCTAAGAACCAGGTCCAGGAAAAGCTGAGACTGTAGGGAAAGGGATCAGGCACTCACAGCTCAAAGGCTTCTGGCCTGATGGGCCAGGGCAGGACCTGCAGCCTCTCTGCAGTTATGCTGATGCTAGGTGGGTGGTATCCACCCCTGCTTTCCCCATTGAGTAGGTGGACAGGGCAGCAGGCTCAGGCCCTTAATCTTCACGCAGGTAGGCTTCTTGCTCCTGGTCAGTACTCTCATGCCCTGCCTCCTGTGTTTTCTGGTGCAGCTCTTGTGTCTGTGCTTCTGCCAGCTTGGTTTCTGCTTTCTGGGAGAGCTGGCGTACCTCCTGCACCTGAGATTTCACCAGCTGGATGTGATTCCGGGCAGTTATAGAGGCCTGATCTGCTCCTGTCAAAAGATGAGACAACTACACTGAGCAGACAGAAAGTGGCAGGTGCAGGTGTGGACATGAAGAAAGCCTGGGGCTCTGTGGCTATCATCTGATATCATCTGAGCCCCTTCTGGATCACTACTCCCCTGCCCCCCCCCCCCCCCCCCCCCCGGGCCGAGTACTGGCGCTTGAACTCAGGACCTTGACCTTGAGCCACTTTACCACCCTATTTTTGTGAGTTTGTTTTTTTTTTTTTTTGAGATAAGGTCTTGAACCATTTGCCTGGGCTGGCTTCAAACAGCGATCCTCCTGACCTCTGCCTTCCAAGTAGCTAGGAGTACAGGTGAGAGCCACCAGCATCCGGGCTGAGTTACTTTCACTGACACCCTCCTTTCCTCCCCCTAGGTCTGCATTTGTAGGGAAAAAAAAACAAACCCCAAACCTCTAGGTCCTCTTATCTTAGCCTTCTGAGTGCTGGGATTATAGGGGTATGCTACACCTGGCACAAGTACTACAATTTAATGCATTTTGGCATGGCCAATGACTATGTGGGTGTCTTTTTAATTTACTGTAAAATGACAAGTTGTGAATCACATGGACAATTTTTGTGTATTGAGCTATCATTGTTTTTAAGGTAAACCACTGTCTGATTCGCATCTGTATTCATGCTGGCTCCATACAACAGGAGATGTCTCACTTTCTATAATGTAGGAACTGGGCTTGGTGTCCATTTTGGAAGGCACATCTTTGAACATTTTTTTTCAGTACTGTGGTTTGAACTCAGAGTCTTGTACTTGCTAGGCAGGCGCTCTAACACTTGAACCACACTGCCAGTCCCATCCATTTTCAACCTTTTTGTGATTATTAGCCTTATATGGATTCTTTACTTCAGGCAATTGAGGATACACATAAAGATCGTAATAGTTTCAAACAAATTTTAAAAATTCCGCATCAATAACATCCCTGTTACTTTTGTTCAAGGAAGCACCTTTAAAATACCTTGAAGCCAGGCACCGGTGGCTTACGCCTATACAGACATCAGGAGGATTGAGGGGGAAATAGTTCTTGAGACCCTACCTCAACACAAAATAGGCTGGTGGAGTAGTTCAAGAGCCTGCCTAGCAAGCATGAAGCCTGAGTTCAAACCCAATTGCCATCTAAAAAACCCTTGGGAAACCCCCTGGAAAACTGCAAGGACACAGCCTTGGGTACTAAGAGCAAAGGCTTTAGAATTTGGCCTTAGGTGAATCTCTAACATAGCATCTTAGGTGTTGCCCAGCTTCTTTTTAAAAGTGCCTATGAAGTGCTTATCAAAGAGCCTAAAACAGGTTGGTGTGCAATGATTTTGCCACCATGATTCCAAGTTTCATTTTTTTCCATCTGCATCGTTCTATGGCTTTTAATAAGTTGTCTAGGTTATGAAATGCTTAAACTATTTGGAGACAGATTTTTTTCCAATTTTTCTAGATAATGACCACCTTAATTCTCTTGGTCTGATCTGTTAGAGTGCTCTTTTCCTACTATGCAAATAAAAAACTGTTTATGTACTGGAAACACGGAAAACTTCTCAAAGTTAAGAACCATAATGGGTATCATCAATTAGAAAAAAAAAAAAAAAACTTACCAGTTTGGTATGCAGCTTCTGCTGCCATCTCTGAAAGACCAACTGCAGTCATCCAAGTGGTTTCCAGCTTCAAGTATTCTTGTTGTTTTGAAGTCATCTGTAAATTTAGCAAAGAGCTTCAGACAACTCAAGGAGGCCTTAGCACATTTCAGTGAACTTACTGAGATACAATTCTTGCTTACCTCAACTCTGGCTCCTATAATCACTTGCCACACCTCATCTTCCTCTTGCGAATTCATTTTCCCAAGTAAGCTTGTATATTGTCGGTACAGAGAAATTAACGTATAAACAGCCTGCAAATATAGAGTAAGTGAGATGTCAATGTCACCAATTTTCCTAATTTACCTCAAGGACATGAAGTCCCATTGCAACAGTCTTTGTGCCTTACTGAAATTGCACTATTGTTGTATTAAGTTGAGGTATCATCCCCAAGTATTAGTATCTCTACCCAAAAACCAGTGTTTTTAAAAACACAAGGTTTAACAACTTGTTAGCAATTCAGACAACACAATATAGAGAAAAAATAGGTAAACCATGGCTGCTTTAGCTCAGATCAGTCCTCCTATTGCATGCTTTTATCCCTTACTGAACTAGATCAGTGGCTTGCCTCCTGTTTTACATACTGGGCTACTATACTCAAGATTTTTCTGGTTAAAGGGTTCCTAGAAAATACAAAAATGAGTGATTTAGATTCAGCACTCAGTAAGTTTTACTGAAAAGGGCCAAATACTTTAGGCTGTGGGCCTTACAGCCTCTGCTGCAGCTACTCTTGAAAACAGTCTCAGACAATACATAAAGAAGTCTGGTTAAGTTCTAATAAAATACAAATGTAGGCTTTACACCAGATTTGGTTGAGTCATGGGGCTGGGGATATAGCTCAGTGACAGAACACTTGTGTAAAATGTGCCAAGCCCTGGGTTTGATCTCCAGCACCGATTCTTAACTCTGAAAAGGGGAGAAAGACAGATTTAACAAGGGGAGACATACCTTAGTATATTCAGTAATTGCTTCAATCAATGCATATGTGGTTTGAGAGAGAAAAGTAGAAGTGCTATCTGTTACCAAAGACACAGCCCTCCTCATTAATGCTTCATTACTAAGAGAATGAGGCTCTGATTTCTGCAAGACACAAACATTGTCAGTCATAAACACTGTCATTCAACTATAAAGCTCAACCTGAGAACTTTGTCATGAATAGCCAAGAAAAGTAATTCTCATACTGCTTAATGTTTTATGTTGCAATAGCTATATTCTTTGGGTTACCCTTTTTAGGCTTTATTTTGGCAATTTACAACTCTAAAAATAATTGTAGAATATGCTCCTACATATTTTCATTCTCTACTCCAGAAAGAAAAGTATTTATGTAAAATGAAAAGATAGTGATTATAACCAACGAATTCATGAAGTTACAATTCACTTATTAACAGAGTATTACATGCTTGAAAAATGTAAGACATTCTCTGCCCTCGAAGACTTCAGGCAGGAAGAGGCCAGAACTACAAAGCTGAATACAATTAAGGCTGTGGCAGAAATGTGTAGGACCTACAGAGGTGACATGCATAAGCAAACTACCAATTACGTTGGGGCAATCAATAATGGTTGAAAGGACTTCATAAATTTGATCAGGATTAGGCTGAGTTTAAAAGTACATGGGTGGGACCAGGGGTTCAAGTGGTAGAGTGTCTACCCAGGAAGGCCCCAATTTCAAACCCCAGTACCACAAGAATTATTTTTTAAAAAGTACATAAATTTGACCACAATGAGCAGTATTGGTCCTGGAAGTGAGAGGGAGACTCTCCCCTTTAAACTCAACTATTACATTAAACAGAACAGGACTTGGGGATGTGGCTCAAATGGCAGAACATTTACCTAGCAAGCACAAGGGCCCTCAGTTCAATCCCTGATACCTCCAAAAAAACCAAATAATATAACTACCTTAATTATGGGAATTCAGCCACCTTGACTAAACAGTGGCAACTGTAATGACCAATCGATGATCCATGATTCTTTTTTCCTCTTAATAAAGCACTTACTATTATGAGAACTAACCAACTGCTCTGTGAGCTCTGTGATCTACTTTTTTTTTTTTTTGCTACTTGAAGTATAAAATCCCAGAATTTAAAAGCAGCAAATATTTGATACGTAACTCAAGAACTTTACCTATCATATTTACATTTCATTCAACCAAGTAATTAACAGTATTCATTATGTACCTTGTATCGAGGAGCTACTCTGCTCACAAATTAAAACTGTGGCATCTCTTGACAACTTCATAATGTGCTAATTTTTCAATGTGTTTCTACTCCTCGTAACAGTTCAGATAGTATTGCTTCTTTTTGACATGATGAAATGGAAACTCAGAATAGTTACGTACCTGTCCCAAAAAGTCATACATCCAGCCCTTAAACCAAATCTTCTCACTCTAAAGTCTGAACTCTTTCTCTATGTTCTGCTGACCCAGGAAAGTGTCACAGAGATTATCAACTATTAAGATACATAATATCAAGTTGTTAATCAAGAAATAGGAAAGGCTTTATAAATGAACAGAGAAAGGACAAAGCAAAAAAATCCTTTCAAGGAAAAAAGGATTGCCCTAACTGTGGCTGAAAATGTGGGCTAAAGATTTATCAGGGATGACAGCTGAAATGAGGCATAGTGACATGAAGGCTTGTGAATGAGCTTCAGAAGATACTAAAAAGAGCCAGTGGCTCACCCCTGTAATCCTAGCTACTCAGGACACAGACATCAGGAGGATAGAGGTTCAAAGTCATCAGCCCTGGCAAACAGTTCTTGAGACCCTATCTCAAAAGTTTCAGGAATATTTTACTAGACTTGCTGTGGTCTCCTATTTAGCTCTTCCCCATAAACCATATAGCTAGTGATTTTAAAAAATAACCATGTACATATATGTCTAATGAACATTTCACACTGACATTTCCAAAACCCACTCCTCTCCATCCCAGTAAATGCAACTCTATTCTTTCAGTTTATCTTGGCATTTAGGTTATACACCCCGTATCCATCAGTCTCCTATTGGCCACATTTGATCAACTTCTCTCTATCTCCTCTGCTGCCTGCCTAGCCCAATTTACGATCTTCTTATGCCTATGCTACGGCATAAGCTTCCTATTAGTTTTCCTGAATGCAGATGGTAACCTTTTAAAACTTATGTCAGACCACAACAGTCCTGAGTTAAAATCTATGGTTTTTCAGAATAAAATTCAAAACCTTACAATGGCCCACAAAGTACAAAACATTTTTTTCTTTGGTGGTGCAGGGGTTTGAACTCATGGCCTCACACTTGCTAGGCAGGTGCTCCTACCACTTGAGCCACTCTGCCATTCTGATTCTCACTCAACTCTGGTCTCACCTATGACTATCTCCCTTCCTCCTCCAGTCACATTAACATTGTTGCTGTTCCTCACATGTATCAGGCATACTGCTGCTTCTAGGCTGTTGCACTTAAGAATTCCTTCTGCCTACCAAGCTTTCCCCCTATCAGATCTTATCATGGCTCTTACATCATTCAAATCTCTAATACTTAAATTTTTCCTTATCAGAGTAGTTTTTCTTGATCCACCCTTAAAACAATCCACTCCCACTCCTGATTTGCTATTTGTTTTCTTCATAGTACTTATTACAAGTTGACATCTTTTTATTTTTGTTTTTATTTATGGCAGTGCTAGACTTTGAACTCAGGGCCTCATGTTTGCTAGGCACTCCACCATTTGAGCCATGCCCCCAGCACTAGTTGACATTTATTTCATCCTCAAAATGTAAGTTTTATGGCAGCAAGATTTTGTGTTTTCCTCCCCTCAATCTTGTATTCCAAGTATAAGCACATAAAAGTTTTTAATAAATTTTTGCTGAAAGACTTGGCAGCCTGTATCATTCTCATTATTTCACTCTATTTGAGGTACTGGTTACCTGGAGTACTGCCTTGGTGGTTTAGCTCAATTTCCTATAAGCCAGAAATTTCTCTTCAGGAGGGCTACCTGAAATCTGCTGGCATCTAAGAGCTGCCACAGTAACTGCAGAGGAATCTAACTTTGTTATAATCGTATCTGTGTGCTAAATGACACACCCATGACACTTGACAACTGTTACGGTGGATGACTGAAAAGAATCATAAAAGTAGTGGAAAGAAGTGGTGCCCAAATTCTCCACCCCATCCCCAGAAAAAGACATGAATATTCTTCCCACTTACTGGCCTGCCCCTTCCCCTTGTTTTACTCTGTATTTATAAACTCGGAACCCTAAGGGTGGAGAAGATGATCTACCAGTTTACTTCCCACTTCCATTCTGGGTCAAGAATAAAAATCTCCTTCATTGCTCAATTGGTGCTTCATCTTGTTACTGGTTTCACAATCCCAAGAGTGGAAAAAAAAAAAGGACCCAGTTTAGGCGCAAAAACTGGTAACGATACTGTTTCTTCAAAATGAGCCAATGAAAATGGGAATATTACTGTATCTGCTCAACTCTGAAAGCTGCTGATACAGTAGAAAGCAACACTGGGACTTGAGACTTCAAGAGGACACAGTTCCCGAAGACAAGGAACACCTGTCCCAGACAGTAACTCACCTGAGCAATGGGAACTGCACACAGGGTTGCACCGAAGCCAGCCACCAGAGCTCTGTGCCACGGTCTCATCAATCCTGAGAAACAGCGTTTCTTGGAGTTAGTCAGCACCGGAACGCACTGCCTGTACCTAGGAACACAAATTTCACAGGGCAGCATTACCGATCTGAATTGGGCGCTTGGTTTTACTTGCAGGGGTTGGGTACTCAAAACTCGGGCAAAAGGGTCTGGGAGCCTTACACCAGGTGCAGCAGTTTAACGTCGCACTGAGGCTGCTTAGAAACCTGATCCAAAATAAGCCCTGCGAAGCGGGACTCAGCTCGGGGCCGGGGTGTCTGATGATTCCGGCTGGAAGGGGGACGCCAGCGTCGATGTTTCCTTGGGTTCGCTGCCCCCGTCCCCCGGGGGGACGTCGTTTAATAACCCGCTCCCTTCCTGAGCCTTTCCCCACCGGTGCCCTTCGCTCCCTCAGGGACTCCGGTGGCTCGCAGGCTAAGCGGACCCAGAAAGGCAGCCCGGGGCTTGGGAGACGCGCTTCCAGGAGCCGGGACAACTAAAAATGCACCAGTGAGAAAGGAGCCCCGCGGGACCGAGGACGGGGGCGGGGCGGACAAGGGAAAGCCACGCAAGCAAGGCCGGCGCCGCTGGTCGAGCCACAGCGCTCTCTGCCTCGCCAGCCCCTCTCCGTTCCTGGCCCCTTCCACCGTCGTGACAGTACCTGAACAAATAAGTTACGCTCCGCGACACCAAACTTCTCAGAGCCGCCATCCCGCGGCGGGAGGACGCCGAACGCACACGCCGGAAGTGACGCAGCAATGTGAGCGGTGGGCAGGGCACCGCCTCCTCCACGTGAGCAGACTTGGCCCTGTTGCCACGCCCCCACCCGAGGAAGCGACTGGGATTGGACAGATGTGGCGGCAGGGGGCGGGGCTCTGGGTAACGACTGTAACGGTCGCACCCGGCGACCAACCGCCGGAGTTTCCGTGTGGGGCGAGGCGAGCCCTGGGTCAGAGGACGGGCGGAGTCGCGCACAGTAACGCGAAAGGTGGATTGGGGTTCGGGTCTGGCGGACGTCTGGGGAGGCCGCAGGGCCAGCTCGTGCGCGCCCCGCCTTCCTGCGAGGCGCGGGCGGCGGCGCTGTCACTTCAGCACCAGGAAGTAGGTGGTCCAGCCGGCCAGCAGCAGCGCCCCGATGAGCACGGTGTAGCTAAGGAGCACGAAAGCGAGCAGCTCCCGCAGCAGCTGCAGCACATGGATGGTGGACGAGGCCGGCATCGCCCTGTGGGTTGCCCCGAACAGCCACTGAGACGCGGAGCGCGATTCCCAGATCCTCCACGCTGGGCAGGCTGGGCGGGCAGGGTGGACACGGCGGGAAGGACAGGTCCTGGCCCTCGAACACACTTTCCTAGGGCTAAAGAAGCCCAAAGCGCTAGCTTCTCCAAAACAACCCTCAGGATGCTCTTTGCATTTACGCTGGAGAAATTCTACAGCAAAAGTTGCCCTCATCTTGATCTGGCCCTTCCCAGCCCTGGCTCTGCATTAGTTCTCCACCCGGCCCTCTCCTCCCGCCACCTCCTGCATTTTTAATGCGGCGGTGCACTAATGGACTAGCGGAGCACAGCTTGCTTTCCCGTCACTCAAGCTGCAGCCCCGCCATGGGCCCTGTCTGGGAGGGGAGGGGATGGCACAGACTCTTGCTGCAGCTCCTCTGCCATTTCTTGGGCCCCAAAGCTTCTTAACTGCAGACTTTGAGGATTTCTGCTTTGTGGTCCCGCCTACTTGCCTTTTAACCACCAATTTGATCCTGGGCTCATCTACTTCCCACAGTACTCTGTGTTACCTGTCCCAATCCTGCTAACTTCACCTCAGACTCTAACAATCAAATCAGATCTTGACTTCCATTGCTGCCCTATCCAGCAGCTTCCCTCTGTGCCAGCCACTAGCTTCCCTCTCTCCCCATTTCACTCACTTGGCAAAGTCTCCACGACTCCGCTGCCACAGCGCTGCAGCTGCTCTCTGGGCCGAAGCTGAAGGCAGGCGTGTGCACAATCCAGCGATCTAGGCAGAGCTGAGAGGTCTTCAGGCAGCAGCCGCACTCAACAACTAGGTGTGGTCTAGCGACCAATTACAACATCGGCGTGGTCCCTGAGCTCTCAAGGAGCTGCGCACAGGCAATCCTAGGCCAGGCGGGGCACTGGCAACCCTGCCCGCCCTCTGCCTGTGTCACCTACATGGCCCATAGGGTTTGCAAAGCCCACAGCCATGTTTGCAAAGCTTCTGACTTAAATGGGCTGAACAAGTGATGCACTAGGGGATATTTCAAGCCTTCTCTTGTCTTGCTTATCTAAACACTCTAGGTAGCTATTGTGCCAATAGTTCTAACAAACACTGAGAGCAGTCTCATCTACTTTGGGAACCAACAGAACCCTTGCATATTTACTTACAACCACCCAACTAGAGCAAAAGCTGTGGCCTTAAAAAAGAAGCAAGAGAACCACAGCCAACCACTCCAGAGTGCTTGATTCTAATTTACAAAGAGTTCAGCAGTTTACTGACTCATTACTCAGACACCTTCCCTGTGCAACCACTTCCAATCTCAACTCCTCCAGATGCAGGGCCAAAGGAGCCAGCTAGGAAAGCAAAGAACCCTTTCCCAGATGCAACAATGAAGGAAAAGAAAGCACAAACTTTATACTGCTTGATTATTTTGCCCATACTACATTATAAAGACTATTTTTGATCTTTGAAAAAGCAGGCAGTGTGGACGTCAACCCTTTTATAAACATCATCATTCAGGAGCAAATGGTTCCTTAATTTAATCAGGATATCTTATTATCAAATCATTGCCTCAGCCACAGCCTGGCTGAAAAGAGAAGCAGAACATTATCAGGCTGTTCAGGAAGCTGGTGAGTAGTAATTGCTCCCCCAGAGAATTGGTCATCTGAAGGGCTTGCATGTCCTGCCTAGTAACAGAAGGAAAGGATGACTGAGGTTTATATCCTCACCTCACACCGAAGTAACAGATGAAAAGGCCACGCTGTTCATAATAGGCCTAACTCAGTTCCCGTTTAGCTCTCACATACCTCAAATGGACGTCTGAAGGCAGTTATGTAGTCTAGACTTTGCAGCCTCTACCCCAATTGGGGGTTATTTTGAAGCTTTATTGCTTTTATTTACTTTATTGTAAATGAAGCTAAGAAATACTACATGGTATAAATTCACATGAATCTGTTTAGAAATAAGAATCTGAGAAATTTTACATCACTGCTTTTTCCTTCAATGGTTGTCTGACAAAAAGGCATTCTTTATTTTCTATAGCCTGTCATCATTAAACCATATAACTAAATATATTTAACTCTGTAGAATATAATTTATAATCCAAAGAAGACAGTCTGTGATATCTGCATTCTCATGTTTTGCCATCTTTTAACCTAGCCCCTTCTTCCTATCTGCTTTAGAGACCTAGTTCATTTGGTATTTAAAAGTATTTTGCTGGGCATGGGGCATATATGAGCAATCCCAGCACTCAGGAGGCTGAGGAGAACTATGAATTCAAGGCCAGCCTGAGCTACATAGGGAAACCCTATCTCAAAACAAGAACAAAATGCATTTTTGCCTGAACTCAACTTTGCTGAATACAAACATTTCTTCTTAGTGACAAGCTTAGTTCTGTGGCCTCATGCATGTGAAGCACATATTCTACTATTGACCTACACCCCCAACTAGTCTTTAATGTACAATTGAGAATAAGACACAGACTAGGATGTCATGATTAGTAACAATCCATTCCCAGCCACAACAGAACTAGAATGGAATAGAGTTCACACTGAGATTATCCCAGTTCTCGCCAATTATTACATGTCCTGTTTTAACTTTTCCTCTCTGAGTCCAGAATTAAACCAGTTGAAATACTTGTTTCACTGTTGGCTAAAAGTCAAGTCTGTATAACAAGACACCAAATGCTGTCTACACAGACTTCTGTATTAAGGGGACTACAGGTGTAGAACTGTCTACTCAACTAGACAAAAGTCCAGACATGATGTAAACAATCCGCCCTCTCCAAGAATTATGCTCCTTTGAGACATATCCAGCTTCAAGTATTAAGTGAACTTACAGAAAGGTGTATAATATATAATTATCCATCACTTTCTATTTGCATACAAATGCAGCAATTGATGTTTTTAGTAAGTCTTCTGCTGAATACATTTTGGGAGCTGACCTAGCTATACTATGAGCAAGCAAGTATAGTCAAGAGTGAATGTAGACACATGAGACTACAAATGGGTATCTGTTCATAGGACTAAAACCTCAGCCAAGAAGACTTGACCAGACTTGAATTGAATCCCAGGAGCCAAAAACATTGAGACACAGATGGATTTCATTGTATAAAGCATCTGACAACTGCTGGGGCTTGAAGGTATAAACTAATATCCCTGGAGTATTTGAAAAAGGATTTTCTAAAACAAGAATGCTTTTGCATTTTGGAATGTTTTTCCATTTCAAAATACTGAATGTCGAGGCCGAATTAATTCCATGAGAAACAAATCTGTAAACATTACCTCTGCCATGCCTCATTTTTACACTAATATTTTTTTTAAAGACAGAATTTGAATTCTGAATTGCATCGTTTAGAATTCCACTACTGAAAAAGGTGAGGGGAAACATATGATTAATAATTAACACTAGAAACTTGGCCAGGAATGGCACCTGGTAAAGGTGGAGACCAGCTACTTTTTCTGGAGACTTCGGCAACAGCAGAAAAGCCATCAACTTGGTTTCCTGCTCTTAACTCCTCCAAATGATGGGATAAGCAGGAGGGAGGCAAGAACAGACTCCCAACTTCTCCATCAACATCCCTGCTCTTTCATAGCTAAGAGTGCCCTGAAGAAGTAGTGGCAGATGTAACTGCTGGACTCTAAGACTGTTAACAAAATCACTCAGGGATGGTGGAGGTTACCAGACTAGGGACTGAAACTGAGCTGGATTTTTTTTTTTTTTGTGGTACTGGAGCTTGAACTCAGGGTCTTTACCTTGAGCCCACCCCACCAGCCCCTTTTGTGATAGGTTTTTTCAAGATAGGGGCTCATGAACTATTTGCCAGGGCTGGCTTTGAACTGCGATCGTCCTGATCTCTGCCTCCTGAGTAGCTAGGATTACAGGTGTGAGCCACCGACATCTGGCTGAGCTGGATATTTTCAAACATGAGGTTGAGTACAACTGGTCACATACTGGTAGAGAAGCTCATGTTGCAGTTACTATGGAGATGAAGTTGCAAGGTGCTGAAGAAGACTTGCCAACTGCTCACAGTGGGACTACCAGGATGTTAGGCCCATGATGGACAGAGAAAAAAATGAAAAAATGGCATCTACCACTGGAATGCCTTTGAGTTAACATGTGCACTAAGAAAGTGTTTTAGAATGGTTAAATTCTCTGGCAGCTGTTCCCCAATTACTACATTCTTCAATGTGGAAAGCTCTTCAAAGACATGGAACCTACACAGATGTAGCTGAAAGGTCAGAAACTTTGGCCAAGAAGCTCCTCTAAACTTGTTAGGAAGAAAACAAGGTTTCCCTTACAGATCAAATAAGACAAAGGTCTGTAATGGATACTGTAGTATAATGTCCCTCCTCTGCAAGAAAAAGCCCTCAGCATGTAACCACTATCCTATGTGTGATGTGTCTTCCAGAAATACAGCACTGTGGATCAGAGCTGGAACTTTCTGCTTTTATTTTCATTTTTACCTCCTGTCTCTGCTTTCTTAAGAACTGTCCCCATGTATGCAGCTGTATAGATTATCCCCACATTCTTACTATATTTCCAGAGGCTGCTAATGAAGACCCTGAGCTTAAAAATTTCAAAACCAGTGTTTCTTCCATCTAAGTTGATTCTCCTTTCTTTCAAAAAATTAGGAACACAAAAGAGAAGCAGGAACAATATTCCTAAGAAGCAGACCCCAAATTAACTTCTGATTCCTGTATGTCTTCTGTGAGGTTTCCCTTTCTTTCAGCAACTTATTTAAAGAGAAGGTTTATTCTGCAGTGCACATGTTCAGTGTCCTTTGAACATCCTAGAAAGGCTTTTCCATTAGAGCCTCTATCCAGCTGGCTCCATTCATTAGTTTAGTGGTGGCAATTACATACTCTGTACCTCCATCTTCCAATTGTGAGAGAAACCGCAGGGCAGCTATTTCAGCAAAGGTTACACCTCCAAGGAAAAATACCAGAGTCACTCGGTTTTCTCCAGGTTGACCTAAAATGTAAACATTTCACAATTCAAAAGTATTTATTATTGGTGCTTCTCTTCCTGACTCTCAAAACATTTTTTCATTCCTAAGAATAGGTCAAATGTGTTTTGGGGCAGACAGTTCATCTGAAACTTGGGAACACTGATTTAGATCTCAGTGTCTTTTCTAACAATTAGGAGCCTCAATGCAGAGTCCTGAGGGACTAGCATGGCTCCAGTGAACATAATATATGTTACCATCTAACAAAAGAGGGCTATTTGACTCTGACTCCTAAGTACTTTACAAATGTCTTTTACAAAGCAATTATACAACACAAAAAACACACTAACAGCACATAATTGTCCACAGATTCTAGACTGAGACTTACGTTTCTTTTGGAGCCCTGTGGGCAGTGGCTGCCGCTCTTCAAAGTGGGGCCCTGGGAGTATGCGGAGAACCTCCTCAATACTCCGCCAGCCAGGTCGGGAAAGCAGCTGAGCAAGTCGCACACTGAGTGGTGCATAACCACTGTACACATAGGATATGTCTGTCGGATTCTGTTAAAGAGTAAAAGAAAAAAATGTGTAAACAGAGATTGGGAGCTGCCTGTGATCTTTTAAGTAACCCACAATTATTTTAAGACAGAAATACAAAATAACCCCCTGCTCCAATTCACCCCAGATGGGCTCTATTCTTAGCAGAGGGATTTATATTTTTGTTTTGTTTTTTTGAGACAGTCTCACTATGTAGCCCTGGCTGGCCCAAAATTTTCAATCCTCCTGCCTCAAACTCCCAATTGCTGAAAATACAGGTGTGTACCACCACGCTTAGTCAGGGCTTCACTTCTGACTCAAATATTAAAAAGCCATTCAAAGAAGGTCCAGGTATAGAAGATGAAAAATTGTCATTTGAGTAGGACTAGAGGTGTGGCTTGAGTGGTAGGGTGCCTGCCTAGCGAGTACCAAACCCTGAGTTGAAACCCCAGGACCACCAAAAAGAGAGAGGGAGAGAGAAAAATTGTCATTTCATTTGGCAAGAAATGCCTTAGTGGATACTGTGGTACTCTCTAGCTGAGTAATAACATATGCAACCTTGGAAACAGCAATTCTGCTTTTAGGCATCCGTCCTATAGAGGTGCTTGTAAACCATCAAAAAATAAACCAAAGAACAAACATATTAACTGCAACAAGGCTGTAACTGCAAAACGCTGCAAACAACCTGGATTTCTATCTTATGAATCTGTTAAATCACAAAATAAGACACATCTTTAAAGCCACTGTGCAGGGTCTGGGGGTGTAGCTCAGTGGCAGAGCACATGCTAACCAAGGTATAGCACCGTTAACAGTCAAACAAAAACCCTCAATATGTAGAGAAAGAATGAGAAAGAATTCTAAGGGTTCCCCACTGCACTGCCTCTCACTAGTCTACCCCGCCCACATCTTTATCAATCACTCCTCAAAGCACCCAGTTTGACAGCATTGTGTCTCCTGCTGAGATTCTGAAGGATACAACACACGATACGCTGTATTTTCAAATACATTAGAAGATGGCTTCTAGGAGCATGGCAGATGTGTAGCCCAGGTAGCATGTGCTGTCAGTGAGCTATGTAACCAGTGACTAGATGGAGTTAAGTGGAGGAGTGCATCCTACTTGCTCATTAACATCATCCATCCAGAGGCGTAACGTTTTCCGAATTGTGGGATAATTGTTTCTGCCCCCAGTCTGTGACTTTAGCAGGCCGGCCTTCTCTAGGTTGTTCAAGGTCAGGATGTACTCATAGCCATAGGTCTGCAAGAGAAGTCATTGGCCTCAATGTCAGATCAAGAGGAGGGCTGCTGCGATTTTCAAAACAGAGCACTTCTCAGAAATCAATTTGGTTTATACTCCAAGGAATGTTACCAAGGTCCAGCAATGACTGTTGATGAACACTGGGGATGGGACAGATGAACAAAACTTGTGCTAAAACTGCTTGTCCATTACTATTAATCCAGCTCTTTGTCCAACGTGGGATTTAAAATTTTTAAAGTCAGAATTTGTGGGCTCAAGCTAAGTAAGCATAAAATTACAATATATTTTATATAGGATATAATTAACTTTAAAAAAGGATGAAGCAGATTATGCATCCTGATATGATCATTTGTATATAGTCTTTTTTTTTTTTTGGCAGTACTGGGGTTTGAACTCAGGGTCTCACGCTTGCTAGCCAGGTGCTCTACCACTTGAGCCACTCCATCATCCCTGGATATAGTCTTTTTAAATTTATTTTATTATTCATATGTGCATACAAGGCTTGGATCATTTCTCCCCCCTGCCCCCACCCCCTCCTGGATATAATCTTAAGAACAAAAAATGATAACCATAGGATACTACACAGGGCTGGAGGTATAGCTCAAGCAGTAGAGTGCCTGCCTCGAAAGCTCAAAAATAAGCCAAAGTAAAATACTATGTAAATGGCATTTATTTTCTGTTTAAAACATAGTAATTGCCAACACTTACATAACACTTTCTATGAGCTGGGAACAGTTCTGGTCTAAGCACTTTATAATCATTAACTTTTGTCATTCTTACAACTCTGTAAGATAGGTATTACTCTTATCTCCATTTGACAGAGATGTTCAAATAACTTGCCCAAGGTCATATAACCACTGAAAGCAGAGCTGGGCTGGATCCAGCCAGTCTCACTCTGGAGTTTGTGTACATAAACGTTCTTTGCCTATGAGAGTCTACAGGGAGGCAAACCAAGTTTCTGACATGGGTCACATCTGTGGAGGAAAAGGGGAGAGCACACAAGGCAGTGGGATATTCATATTTTGCTTTATATACTTCTGCATTTTGGGATATTATGAGAACACATATTATTTGTATAACTTAAAAAAGACAAAAGCAAAAGAGTTATTGAAGGCTTAAGAATTTTTTTGAGACAGGATCTGGCTACATAGCCCAGGGCTGATGTGAGGATTAAATAAATGCATACTCATTTGTTGAAGCTGTTCCAATGAACCAGGCACACAGTAAGTGATTAGTGTTTCATATTACTATTATACAACTACAATAAAAATGATATCCAGAACAATTCCTGAGGTGTTAAAGAATCAAAAAGATAGCAGTAACAATATACCAAAATAGTGTCTCTCTCTGTGGACAAACGCACGGAATTATTTTCCTTTTTCCCAGGACTGGGAATTGAACCCAGGGCTGTGGGCATGCTAGGCAAGTGTTCCACCACTTGAGCCACACCTCCAGCCTTTTTGTTTTTAATCTGTTTCTGAGACAGGGTCTGAGCTACCTTTGCCTAGGCTATCCTTGAACTCTAGATCCTCCTGGGATTTACAGATATGTACCACCACACCTGCCATGAAGTATATTTAAAAGATGCTTCCCCACTTGGCAAATTAAAAATTTAAAAATACACTACCTGGAGAATTTCTCTTTTGTAATAATCCAAAACTTTTTGTTTGAGTCCACTATTGCACACAGATTGGAGGCAAACTAGCCTTAATACCTTGATCAATGGATGCTTTTGGGCAATGCAATCCTCGATGTAATTGTTGACCTAGAAGCAAAATGTATACATATAATGACTCTCAAGTTTGGGGACTTAAAGGAATTTGATGTCTATTATTATTTTCCTAAGCCAAGAAAAGAAATGTGTGGGAGAATGGCTCATTTTTTCTTACTTGCTAACTCCTGCTTAAGGTATCCCTCAGCCCCTGCCACACCACACACAGTCCCTAGCCACCACACAAACACACCATTTATCAGATCAAATTGTAGGAGCCCAAAGCAATGAGGACATCATTAGCCAATCTAAATGCTGGCCTTGACACACCTACCACTATGGGCAACCTTCTGAGAGGCTACCAAATGTTTGGGGTTTGTGTGACCTCATCTATCTTAAGAATAGCAGCAACTTATCTAACAAAGTAACAGACATATTTTAAAAAATTTTTAATAAAGTTGAATATTTCAGGAAATGTATCTTGAGATTTTGAGGGGTTTTTGGTGGTATTGGAGGTCAAACCCAGGGTCTCATGCATGCTAGGCAGGTACCTCTGAGCTACATCCCCATTCCAAAAAGCAAATATCATAATTTATCTATTATAGTCCTCAACCTTAGATCTCAGAGATGAGGCTTCATCTTTCTATGTACTTCAGAACATGTCTTACAGAGAGTAGTGTTAAATCTCTGTTAGTTGATAAAATCCCTATTTGTACATTTTCCATTTACTCCTAAAAATATTTAGGCATGGCATGGGAATCAAACTGAGTACTTATAATCTTATGTTTAGAACAGTTGTATTCTCTACATACCTTATCAGTGTCTATCCCAGACATAAACTCCTGTTCCACTGTTAATTTATCAAAGAAGTCTTCAGAAGCTAAAATGTAATTAGCAAATTTGCAACTTAGAAAATCAATAAATGTTAATTTACTTGAGTAGTGTGCTTTTACATACAAAGTATGGTTAAGAAACAAGACATACCTACTTTGCAAGTACAAAGCCCTAAGTTCAAACCTCAGTCCCACCAAGAAAAATAAAAAAATTAAAAAGGCATGCAAAAAAGAAAAGCAAGCATGAGTTGAAACTATTACCTCAAGAGACTCTTCTAAGAACCATGGAAAACTCTAGAATTCTGAACTCCTAAATTCTATTTAGATATAGTCAGCTACTGACTATATCCTTTGGTATCATTAGAATTAAATACATGTCAGGATTTTGCAGAATAAATCTCAGTGTCAATGAAAGCTAGTTTCCCAAGAGCATTTCACTTTTATCAGATTCAACCTAACTTCAACTGATTTTCATTTCAGGTATGAAAGCAAAGGACTAATTTTCCAAGATTGTGTTTTATTTAAGATTCAAAGCATACTTCATAAAACAGGGCACAGAACCACCTCTTACTCAGCTTTTACAACCCTATGTTTCAATGAACAAACTCATTTTCTAGTTTAATATAAATCTTTGGAGCTTTTGTGAAATACTTAACAAAGGATTTTCTCTGCCAATTCTGCAAAAAATCTTCAAGGTAAAGCAAAAACAAACAAAAAAGCCCACAGAACATTATATTAATCCTTCAAATTAAAAAAAAAAGACACTAAAAAATTAATTGCCTCAAAATATTTAGTCATATGATTAATATGAGTTAATCAGAAATGGAACTTTTTTTTGTGGTACTGGGTATTGAACCCAGTCTCATGCTTGCTAGGCAAGCATCCTACCACTTGAACCACTCCACTAGCCCTTTACTTTGTTTTTGAGATAGATTCTCACTAACTTTTTGACCGGGCTGGCTTTGAACCACAATCCTCCTGTCCTCTCCTCCTGTGCAGCTGGAATACCAGGTGTACCCTACCATGCCCAGCTAAAAATGGTGCATTCTCTTTTTTCATTTGGTGGGACTGGGGTTTTGAACTCAGGGCTTCTCACTTGGAAAGCAGGTGCTCTACTGCTTGAGCCACACCTCTAGTTCAAATGGAGCATTCTTAACTGTTAACATTCATATGCTTACCTAATACTGAGAAGCATGTACGATACTGAAATAGAACTGAAAGGGCTGGTGTTGTTGCTCAGTGGTAGGAGTGTATGCTTTGCATGTATGAGGACCTGGGTTCAATCCCCAGTAAAAAATAAAGTAAAATGAAATTAAAATAAATAAAATGTAAAGTAAAATAAAATGAATAAATTAAATTAATAAAATAAAATAAGTTGGGTGTGGTGATGCACATCTGTAATCCCAGCTACTCAGGAGGTGGAGGCAGGAGGGTGGAGAGTCCAAGGTCAGCCTGGGCAAAGGTAGGGAGACCCTGTCTCAAAAATAAAGTTAAAACAAAAGGGCTGGAGCATAGCTCAAGTGTAGAGTGCTTGCCTGGCATACACAAGGATCTGGGTTGAATCCCTAGCACTGCAAAAAAAAGAAAAAAAAATATATATATACACACACACACATACACAGAGTGCTAACTTTCCTGAGGAAGCATAAGGGTGCTAATTATCAGGATGCTGTATATTATATATTAGACTCAGCCCTAGGCTAAAAGAATCATGCTGAAGGATACTTACTAGTGACATCTTTGATTAACTCTGCAATCGAAGTGTGGTTTGCAAGAGAACCCCTTGCTGCCTGCATGTGGGGCAACTGTGAAACAAACTGCTTAATCTCCCCCACGGTCTTGGCGTTGTGCCTCTCCTGGAACAGAAAGACAGCAGCACCATCAGCCAGGGCAGATTATCTGAGAGGATGCCTCATTTAAATGAATGTGAAAGAAAGAACGGGATACATATAAGTCAGTCCAAAACCACTCCAACATTACACAGAATTACAGAAAAGATAATTATCTCACCGAAAGAGTTCACGGTGTCTACTTTCCACAGAGCACTTCTTTAGAGAGCAAATGTCTACAATTCTCTTCCTATGCACTGGCTCATAGATTGTATCAGTATTTTTGACATCTGAGGATTAGTGGTATACAAATTTCTGAATAAAAAACTAAAATTAAAAAGCTAGGCTATGTGCTGAGGGGATCATAAATAAAAAATTTCCTTTATAACAGATACCAATCCAACCCAGGTGCTGAAACTGTCTTGAGTATAGCCCATGAACAAAGTGAACCTAGTTTAGTGACAAGAACATTTTGGGGAGAAAAATTTAATTAATTTCAACCACAAAGTGTCTTCAGAAATAGGAAGAACAGTTCATGAATATAATTCCTAAAAAAAAAAACCTCTGGAACCACATACCAGTGGAAATTAGTTCTCAAAAACTCTCCCAATTTATGTTTCCAAAGTCTAAATACTGAGAGTTTATCATCTTACTGAATTCCCATGTTTCAAAAAGGCACTTACAAAAATAAACCAGACACGACAAGAGGAGGCAGGAAGGTGATAATGAAGCCATCAATTTAACAGCTCTGGGCTGCCAGGGATTTCGATCTCATTATCACCCTCCACACATGTGGGGTTCTCCTGGCACTGTCATGTTGGCTGAACCTGGAGTTTTCATCATGAATTACAAGATCTATTACAGATGATCTTTTATTTATAGTACAGCTGCTTCCTCTTAAGTGAGGTAGGAAAAAAGCTTAGAGGAAGAAGATAAAGAAAATGTTATAATGAAAGCTTATAAACTACAAACTCTTGGTCATTCTCATTCTCTCTCTAGACATGACCTGCTTTCAGTCTACTGAAAGTGTATTCCTTTCCTAATCAACTTTACTATCACTTTCACTACAAAAAAATTACAAACTCTTGTGGACCACATCCTCTAAAAAAGGAGAGAAACTTAACAGAGCCCATTCTGTCACAGGGTCTAAGAAAAAGTCTAAAAGGAAACCTACCTGGGCGATGGTAGCTCACACCTATTATTCTAGCTACTCAGGAGGCAGAGATCAGGAAGATCACGGTTCCAAGCCAGCCCCGGCAAATAGTTCATGAGACCCTATCTTGAAAAAAAATCCATCACAAAAAAGGGCTGATGGAGTGGCTCAAGGTGTAGGCCCTGAGTTCAAGCCCCAAAACTACAGGGAAAGAAAAAAGAAAAAAAAAAAAAAAAGAAAAGAAACCTTGGGTCCTGAATCTGCAGTTATTAAGGGTGACAAAGGCATGCTATACCAAAGCCCTGCTAAATGGCTTCATGTTTCCAGAACTCTTTTCTCCTCAGGGTGGAGGATGCCAACCACAGCCTGTCTCACCTCGAACGCTGCAGAGATGATCTTTGCCTTTTTGCTGAGCACTGAGCCCACTGCATTGAAGTTCTTGTCCCGGATCTCAGCATAAAGCTCCTCTGCAGAATTTAGCTGAAGCTTCTTTGCCTCAGTGGGGAGGTCCTTCCCACTATCGCCCTGCTTCTTAGGTGCAAATTTCTCTGGAGGTAATTTCACATAAGCTGAACAACAGAAGGAACAAGCACCGGTGTGCAATTACTGGAAGAACCAATAATCAATTGGGGGTAGGGGGGGATGGTTCAAGTGGTAGAGTGCTTGCCTAACAAGGTCGAGGTCCTGAGTTCAAACCCCTAGTACCACCAATAGACAAACTAATTAATTAATCTCTTAAAAAAAAAAAAGGGAACCAACAGCCAAGTACCCAGGCACAAAAGGTAATTTCTAACTCAATAGGGAACTGAAGACAGCTTTACAAGAAAATGGCATAGAGCTGTGGGGTTTTTATTTTCCCATGGTCCAAGTGCAGGAATAGTTACCCTTTAATATTGATACCATGCTTCTCATTTTCTTTGGGAGCACCTATTTAAAACACTGCAGGACTTGGGTATGGTTCAAGTGGTAGAGCATTTGCCTAGCAAGCACGAGGCCCTGAGTTCAATCCCCAGTACTGCCCCAAAAAATTAAAAATAAAAAATAAATCCCAGCAACATCCAATTCCTAAACTCAGCCAGGGATTATGTCACTTTCCCACTTAAAAAAAAAATCTATTAAGGATCTCCCCATTGTTCTCTTTTGGTTTCCAAACTGTAGGTCAGGACTTGGGGCGTGGCTCAAGTGGTAGAATGCTTGCTTAGCATTCTTAAGGCCCCAGCACCACCAAAGACAACCAGAACAAGTCAGTCAGTCATGTTCCATTAACAGATCATGAAATCAAGCTCATGAGTTGCTAAGAGCATTAAAAAACATAAGATCAACAAGAAAAACAGAAAATCCCGGAGTGCATCACATGAAGTAAAGGAAGGGTAGCTTTCTGGTTTTTTTAAAAATACAACTTCTGTTTCTGTCCTATACACACATACATACATGCCTGTGTCTGTGCTGGATTGTGACATAAAATATATTTGTAAGTATGGGTTGTAGTCCAAAATAGTTCTAGAACAAGGATCAGAAACCATGTCCAATGGCCAAATTCTACCAACTTCCTGTTTTCGTAAATAAAGTTTTATTGTACTGTGGATGTCTGCTTTCACCTTACAATGGCAGAGGTGAGGAGATTCCAAATATTATGCAAGCTGAAAAAAACAAACTATTTCTTATCTGGGCCCTCACAGAAAAAGTGGTCCACTCTAATCTAGACTAATACCCAAATTCCTTCGCATGTTTCCACTTCCTCTAAAACAGAGCCATAGGTTACTTCTGCTGTCTCTGCTCCTGCCAAAGCAATTTAGTCAGTGCTTCCCTGGGATGACCCAAATATCTTCAAGTAGAACTGATGGCACGGCAAAGCCAGGCATGGTGGTATACTCCTGTAATCCTAGCACTTGGGAGGCTGAGGCAGGAGGATCAAAAATTTGAGGTCATAACAAGACCCTGTCTCCAAAAAAAAAAAATACTGATGGCACATAAACTGAGGTTATGAAAGGTAACAGCAACATTTAGAAATACCTTAAGTTACGTAATGCTAATGTTAATACCTTTTGACCTTCAGAAATCCTGCATCAAGGAATCCAGGGAAAGAGAATAATCTGATCGTGATAAAATCTTATATGGACAGACGCTTTAATCATGAAAAACAAATGGCTATCATTGGGGAATGACTGCAAACCAAGACATAATCTCAATAAACTACTGAATTCTGGATATGTGTGGGAAATGCTCATTATTACACCAAATCAAAAGTTAGGTTCAAAACAATTTGTATAACCCGATTCTTTTTTTGTGAACTAAAATAAACTGCAAAGAAAAAAAAGACAAGAAAATACTAAAGCTGGAGACTGATGGCTCATGCCTGTAATCCTAGCTACTTGGGAGGCTGAGATTGGGAGGATCAAGGTTCAAGGTCAGCCTGGGCAAAATAACCAGAGCAAAATGGTGGATGTGGGGTTCAAGCAGTAAAGCATCTGCTTTGCAAGCATGAAGACTTGAGTTCAAACCCCAGTCCCACCCCCCAAAAATAAAAAGAAAATATAAAAACGTTAACACTAAATGTCCCAAAGTTTGGGCTGCAAGGGGAATGGACAAGGACTGGAAGGATAATGAGGAGCTATGTTTTCTTTCTTCTACTTTTCCAGTTTCTCCTTAATTAATGTTTGATTTATTAAAAAACACTACATAGAGGCTGTGGGTTTCCATGCATCTCTCTTCTTGCCTACCTCTCACCTCTCTTACACAGCCATCCCCTGAGACCTACTCATAGGCCACCTCTCCTCAGACCCTTCCCCGTCTCAAACTCTAGGCTCTCTGTAATGACCTCGAGTTTGTTTGATTACCAGTCATTACCTAACAGAGGGCTCTCATGAGATGAATCCATTTGCCAATGAAATAGAATTTAGAAATATATTTAGGATGCCATTTTGGAGTCCTCACGTCTGTAATCAGAAGGCAGAGGATTGAGGTTTGAAGCCAGCCCAAGCAAATAGTTCAAGAACCGTATCTTGAAAAAACCCATCACAAAAATGGGCTGTCAGAGTGACTCAAGCATAAAAGCACCTGCCTAGCAAGAGTGAGGCCCTGAGTTCAAATCCCAGTGCCACTTTGGGGAGCGAATTAAAACTTTTCCCAATCTTATCATTAAAGATCCTGACAACAATTTGAGTGTTTTGTGGAAATGCCTCTTCAAGTCTCTTTTCATTTTTATTCCCTCAGCTGTCCACTCATACACAACATTCTCTCATTCATTCTTGTGGCAAAATACACAGTACACAACATTTACCACCTTAGTCATTTTATGGGGAATAATTCAGGAGCATTTAGCACATACACACTTTTACAACTGTAGCCAGTATCTTTAATTATCTGTAGTCTACAAGCAGTCACTCCCGTTTCTTGACCCCCCAGTCCCTGGCAAACACTTGTCTGCTTTCTGTCTCTATCACTTGAGCCACTCCACCAGCTCTGCTGCTTTCTGTCTCTATGGAATTCACACCACTTTTCTTAACTATTCCACCACTCCCCTTCAGGTCATTTCTTGGCTCCAGGATGGCAACAGAAGCCAGGGACTGATGAAAATGAGGGAGTGAGACACACATGTTGGGGGTGGGAGAGTCTGTGGTGAGGTGGACATCAGGGACGCTGTCTAAAGGTGTTACCTTCATGGGGAAGCAGCTGCCATGTGGGAATGACATCTTGGCATCTGCCAGAGCTTAGATATTTTTAAAGACAGCATAAATCAAGATTATTAGTTCTCAAATTTTAAAAGCTGACAGACACAAATATTACATGAGCCAAACAAAACATTCTTATGACCAAACCCACCAAGGCCAAATTCCAACCTCGGGGGAGGCCAAGATCTTTTCTCTCTGAGGATTTCCCCCATCTGTGCTATTTGCGTTTGCAAGCTGGTGTCTCACCCAGCCCTGCACTTATTACACTACCTGCCTCTGCCCAGCACTTCCATCTTAACTCTACCTTTCCTTCCAAACTCAGTGCATAGCACCTCTTTCACAAGTCCTCCTGATCTACTGCCAGCCACAGGGCCTGCAGTGCCACTCATGTTAACCCATAGCCTCTATATACGGAGACAGGCCCAGGCTGGACACTGAACATCTGGCCAACCCTTGTGTCACTGACAATAGCAGTTTGCTCGGCTATCAGTTAATCTTAGTGCCTGAAAGTCAAAAGTCAGTATTTTTATTTTTTCAAACGTTCTCTGATTTATATGCAAAAGAAACCTTTCTAAAATAACCTTTGGAGGCAAGGTTTGATTATTCCTTCTCAAGTTATTTTTCTTTATTCTGGTGTTCCTATTTGGTCATTTTACATACTTCATATATATGTATATACCATATTGGATCATATATTAAAATATAAATGATATGTACATGTTATATAAACTATATATTATATACATACACATATATAAAATCTATAATTGGAGTCAGTTTGGCTATATACTTTTTCATCTTCCATATTTATTAGTTGAATGGTTCCATAATATTTTCTAATGTTCTCAAACATTTGGATTGTTTAGAAAATTCTGGAAAACAAATAGTAATAAAACCTTTTTATACCAATCAGCCTGATCGCCTGTTTTGAAATGACTCCTCCAGGGACACCCTCAGGGCTTAGACTGTCCTGGGCCAAGAGTTAAAGTTTACATGTTGCCAAATTGTTTCCCAAAAGGTTTGCTTTATCCTACACTTTGAAATCATCTTAAAAACTGAATCTGTGCCAGCATCGCAAGTGCTCATTGCCTGGTAATCCTGCTACTCAGGAGGCACAGACAGGAGATCAAGTTCAAAGCCAGCAGGAAAGATAGTCCTTGAGCACCCCATCTCAAAAAAAAATTCCACCACCAAAAAGGGCGTGAGTGTAAGGTATAGCACTGAGTTTTAAACCCTAGTACCAGAAAAAAAAAATTGAATCTTTAAGTTCAAATTATGCTTGAGAATATAATATAAAAATGATAGCTTCCACATAATTTTTTTATATTACCTACAGGTGAAAATAATTCACTTAACTTACGTCTGATGCCATAAATTTCATCATATGAGTCCTTCGTATGTAAGCGTAGCAAGAGGCTAGTAAGTCCACAGGTCGATCAAGTAGTAAGATTATCCAAAAACAGGAAATATAGAATTCTGGCTTCCTGTTAAACTTCTCTTCATCCATGATCATCATATTGGCCCTTCCTGGAAACAAAATACTGGGATCATAGCCCTCCTGGGAACTAAAATTCCACTAAACACAAAAAAGCCAAATAAATATAAAAAGGAGAAAAACTCCAAGGATGAAATTTATAAGAAGTAAGAATCTTCCAGAAAACATTTTCTAGGGGCATAGTATCAGTTGCAGCATGTACTTGTTATTTAAGGTGAGGTAGTTATGTTCCACAAAGGCACTGCAAACACTGAAGTAGCGAATACTGAATCATTGCTCCTGGGGGAAATGCAGTTAGGAATCTGTACTTCTGGATATGGGTATATCCAGAAATAGAAGCTTTTGTCAACTCATCAACATAACCTTGTTTCACATGTGTTTCTGTTTAGACATTGATTTAATATATATTGTTGAGTTATTCACGCTGACGTCGTGGCCAACAGATCTGTAACTGGCCTGAAGGAAGCTTATCTAATACATTATTTTCTCTGTAAGCCACATCACAGCCTTCCTGCGCTCAGCAGCACTAGACATACTTCAGCACTATGCTTGGCTCCCTTCAAACAGAAAAGTCACCAAGAAAAAAGAAAAAAAGTGTGGAAAATTCAACACTAGAAAGACTGAAAGAGACGCTTGTTTGCAGTCCCAGACCTGAAACAAGAAGGCAAAGTGTCACCTTTTCAATCTTAGCCGGGAGTATGCCCAATGGGAAGCAAATTTCTCACTACTCTGGTGTATCCACAAAGCACAATAAACACTAATTACAGTGAGGAAGCAAACTCCCAAACACAGAACTTGTAAATAACAAGGCTTGGCTATATTTGTTTGTGAAGAATTTCTCCTTTCTCCTCAATTTTTGGTACCAGGATCTCCTCCTGCCTCGTTCACCACCAGAAAACAGTTGGTTCTCACCCGAGCACATTCTCCTTTTCCAAAGATCTGGGGGATTGTTCCATACAGAGCTTGCAGGGTCATCAGCCCCTTGGCTGCGTGATACAGGCTTGTCTGGTCACCTTCCAGGTAGCACTCCTGCAGGGGAGAAAAGCTGGTTACTGTAGCCATGGTCACCTCCCAGGGACCTGTCAGTGCCTGGCTCTGGCCCTGGGATTCAGCAATGGAAAATAAAACCACTCCCATCTATTTCACATTTCACTGGGGTGCTGGGGACCGCAGCCCATACTACAAAGCTACTTTGTGGCAGCCTAAACCCTGAGGCCAGCAGTCCTCAGCAGGACATAGCTGTGGAAGCCATGATCCCAAGCACAACTGAGACTCCTGAAACAGAAACATGTGTGTGTAGCTTTTCTTAATTGATCATTTCACCAATAAAAGACTGATGAAAGCTAGGAGTGATGACCCACACCTGAAATCCCAGTTAACTTGGGAGGCAGAGGCAGGAGAGAGTGAGTTTAAGGCCAGCCCAGGCAAAGTTACCAAGACCCTGTCTCAAAAACAGCTACAGGGCCAGGTGCCAGTGGCTCACACCTGTAAACCTAACTACTCAGGAGGATTGCAGTTGGAAGCCAGCCCGGGGAAATAGTTCTGTGAGACCCTATCTTGAAAAAGCCCTCTGCAAAAAAAGGGCCAGAGGAGTGGTGTGGGCCCTAAGTTCAAGCCCCAGTACCACAAAAAAAAAAAAAAAAAAAGAAAGAAAGAAAGAAAGAAAAAGAAAAAACCACCTACAGGGCTGAGGGCATGGCTCATCAAGCAGCAGATGCTTGCCTAGCAAGTGTGAAGCCTCAGTTCAATTGCCATGGTGGGGTAGGGTAGGGAATGACTGATGAGTAAAGGCTTGCACTGGGTGCTCATGCACTGGTAAGTATAAACTTGGTTAGCCATTTCAAGAAGGCATGTTCTCTGGGCATTTTGCAAAGTCCCACAAGACAACTTCAGAATCCTTCTTTTTTTTTTTTGGCGATACTGGGGGTTGAATCCAGGACCTCTCCAATGCTAGGCAAGTGCCTCTAGTTTGTTTTTCATATAGTGCCTGGTGCTTTTGCCTGGACTTCCATCCTCCTATCTTGGCCATGATCTTTTCCTCCACCTCCTAAATATCTGATTATAGACATATGCCATGTCTGGCTACATAAGTTCATCTTTTAAAGATTTCAGCAGGGTGCTGGTGGCTGATGCCTGTAATCTTGGCTACTCAGGAGGCAGCGATTAGGGGAATCTCAGTTTGAAGCAAACAGTTCAAGAGACCATAACCTCAAAAAATACCCAGCCCAAAACAGGGCTGGCAGAGTGCCTCAAGTGGTAGAGCACCTACCTAGCAAATGGAAATGTGGATAAATGTGACTATATTGAAGTTCATATAAGCCAGGCGCCAGTGGCTCACACCTGTAATCCCAGCTACTCAGGAGGCAGAGATCAGGAGGATCGCAGTTCGAAGCCAGCCCGGGCAAATAGTTTTTGAGACCCTATCTTGAAAAACCCTACCACAAAAAACTTGAGCTGGTGAAGTGGCTCAAGGAAGGTCCTGAGTTCAAGACCCAGTATTGCAAAAAAAACAAAAAAACTCATACAAACTTGTGGACGGACTTACAGACAGGTGCAAAAACTAAATCCTCTTTTGCAACCCAGAACTCAGTGTACAATATGAGTTTTGATACATATAAGAACGAATATGTTAGGAAAAAAAAAAAAAAAACCACAGAGGATGCGAGTATGGCTTAAGTGGTAGGTAGGCCTGTACTTACCTAGCAAGTGTGAGGCCCTGACTTCAAATCCCAAAAAAAAACAAAAACAAAAAACAAAACAAAAAAAAACCCCACGAAGCCCCACCAACCTTCAGTAAAAACCATCATAAGCAAAGTCAATAGATAAATGGAAGAGGAGAGCCTGGGGAGCTAGGGCCACAGATACAGGGACTCATGTCCACGGAAATTCACACAGCATTGACTCTAACAGGTGCAAGGAGAAACACAGCAATACCCTTCAAAGAGGACTGACTCAATGATTATCCAGGACTGGCTTGGATGAATTATCCATCCAAACCACAGAACATGACGTAGCTTCCAATGAAAATATAGAAACGTGCTCATAAAGGGCAGAAAATGACTCCAAGGGCTGCAGCAGTAGCTCAAGTAGTAGAATGCCTGCCTAGCAATTGTGAGGCCCTGAGTTTGATTTCCAGTACTGCCCCCTGCCCCCCAAAAAAAGAGACTACAAAATGAACTAAGAGCAAGATATGCCACCATTCACTGAAAGGTGGGGAAAACATCATATATGCTATGAGCTAGAGCTGTATAAACCTTCTCAGAAAAAAATGAAGGACTATTTTAAAAGTCACTAAAACAAAAAGAAAAAGAGGTGAGAACAGGGACTGCTCCTAGAAGGAGGTGGCAGTCTAAGGCCTGAGGTTGAGAGTAGCTTACTTTTCACTCTGTGTCCTCTGACTCAAAGACATTTATCATGTGCATGGATTGTGTTTATAAAATATTCTCAAATTTTAAAGAATAATAACACTTATTTTTGGCAGCACTGGGGTTTGAACTCAGGGCCTCATGCTTACTAGTGAGGCACTCCACCTTTTTGCGATTGTTTTTTTTTGAAATGCGGTCTTTCCAACTATTTGCCCGGGCTGGCTTCCAACTGTGATCCTCCTGATCTCTGCCTCCTGAGTAGCTAGGATTACAGTCATGAGCCACCAGTGCCTTGGTCAAAGTAACATTCTTATGAAAGAAGGTGTCTACTGAAATAAAGATGGCAAAAGTGAATATATCAACATACTGGCAAAAAACCTTTCCAGAGCCAGACAGAAAGGTACGTACATTTACTCGTAAACAAATGCTGAAAAAAATTAGCAGGGAAAAATATTGCTGGAACTACTGGCAAAAAGGATATAAATGAGCACCACATTCACAGCACACAAATATACAAAATGAAGCCAGATTAAAAACCTAAATATGAAAAGGAAAACTTTGCAACTTTTAAAAGAAAATGGAAGATTTTCTATGTCTTCAGAGTTGAGAAGGATTTATTAAGACCCCAAAAACAGGACTAGAAGCCAGGCATGTAATCCCAGCACTTAGGAGGCTGCCTAGGAGAAGAAAGATGGCCAAGTTCAAGGGCAGCCTGATTCCATGTACCTGATACATCGTAAAACTCTGCTTCAAGAAACAAACAAACAGAAAAACAGGGCTGGGGATGTAGTTCAGGGTTACAGTGCCTGCCTTGCATGCTCAAGGCCTTGGGTTCAGTCTCCAATGCTTATGGAGGAAAAAAGATTCGAAAAGTGCAAACTGAAAGAAAAGAGTGACATTTTTAACTTTAGCTTGAAGGACTCACACTTCCTATTTCAAATTTACAAAACATGTGCTGAGCGGTGAGACTCAAACATGAGCAATTATTCAGGTAAGTGTGAAAGGCTGAGTTCAAATCCAAGTCCACCAAAAACAAAAACAAAAAGTTTTACAACAAGAGCTACAGTAATCAAGACAGTATAGTACTGGCATAAAGTCAGACATCCAGATCAGTGGGACAGAATTGAGGGACCAGAAATAAATGCTTACATTATGGACAAATGATTTTCAGCAAGGATACCAAGATAAATTCAGGAGGAAAACAGTCTTTTCAACAAATGGTGCTGGAACAAATATCCACAATCAAAAAAGAAGTTGGGAAACCCTATCTCTAATGTAAGAGTAACTTACAAAAATCTTAGAAGGCGAAAAACAGGAGTGACTCTGTGTGACCTTAGTTAGCAATTGTTTTCTTAAATGTGACACCAAAAGCACAAGTAGCAAGAGAAAAAAATAGATCAGTTGGATTTCATCCAAATTAAAAACTTTTTGCATCAGAGGACTCCACTTTCACCAAGAAAGTAAACAGAACCCACAGAATGGAGGAAAATATTTGGAAATCCTCTATGTGATAAGAGACCTGCATCTGGAATGCATTTAAGAATTCTTACAACCTTGTAAATAAAAAATAAGATAATGAAAGCCACCATGGAAATACACTTCACACCCAGTGGAAAAAGACAGTAACAAGTGACACCAGCACAATACAGGCGGTGGGTGTTACAAAAATGGGACAGCTACTGCCAAAAGTTTGCAGCTCCCCAAAAATGTTAAACATAGTTACCATAACACCAGAAATTCTACTCCCATTGAACACGTAAGAGAGAAAATGAAACTACACTCAAATCTTGATGAATACTCACACGTACGACAGCCCCAAAAGTGGAAAACAGCCATCAGCTTACCATCAAACTGATGAAAGATAACCCAAATGAGGGACATACGACTTGGCAATAAAAAGAAATGAAGTACTGACATATGTCACAACATGAATGCACTGTGAAAATATTATGCTAAGAGGAAGAAGCCAGACACAAAAGACAAGTATCTATTACATGCTTTCATTGACAAGAACTCTCCAAAACAGGCAAATCCATACAGACAAAACAGATTAGGGAAGACCAGTGGGTACAAAAAGGAACAACAGACAGGACTGCTAATGGGTGTGGATTTCTTTAGAAGATGATTAAATTGTTCCAAAATTAGATGGTAGTGAGTTTCATAACTGTGTGAATACACTAACAACTTAATTGCAGATACTACTTTAATTTTTTTGAGACAGGGTCTCCTTGCATAGCTCAGAGTGGCGTCAAACTCGTGCCTCCTAAGTGCTGGGACTACAGGTGTGTAATATCACACCTGGCCTGTGATACTGTTTAATTTGTATTCCATTATCTCTGTGAAGCTGAAGCTCATTTCATGTTTATAGACATTCAGGATGTTCTCTAGGCCAGCCTTGAGCTACATAGCAAGACGGTCTCAAAAACAAACAAAACAACACAACAAAAAAAAAACCCAATATATAACACTTTCACACTCATAAATTTGGCAAAATCTAAAGTCTGATGTCACAGAAATGCCAAACTTACTTTGAATGCACCCTCCGATTCCATGGATAAGAGATCCCCATCAAATGGAATGAGATCTAAACTATACTCCTCCCTGTGGATAAAGGATCCCAAAACACCCAGGTCCTTTAGTCGCTGTTCACATAGCAAGCTGCGGCGAGGTACAAATAAAATGTGAAAATCCCGGGCTGGGCCACGTCTGTCTTCACTGTAAAGGAAGTAACAATTATTAGTTTATGAGCTCCTTAGGGTCAGAGGCTTATTATTAATATTACTTATTTTTAACTACTGCCTGGCACACTGTAGGCACTAAATAAATGCTGGTTAGATTCACCTAGGAAGAATGACTCTCAGACTTAAAAGTTAACAGTTCTGTGCCCTTTATTCCCATCCACCCGAAAAATGAAAGCAGCTCTGATTTCTACATGGTCCTTGACTCAATGTTACATACTGAGGTACTTGTGGTGTATCTTCTTGCATCCTCTTAAAACACTTACAAAGCATTAAAGCTCTCAACTTTATCAAAACAGGACATCTATGTCCTATTGAAAACAAATGTTCTTTAACCAAACCAATTCAACAGTCTTATATTAAAATGAGAGCTCACTCTTGACTCCTACTCTCTCCTTGATAGTGGACTTCCAAAAATAGCCCATATGCTTTTAAGATTTTAGGAGTTGCATCAATCAATTGTACCACAGAATGCAGACTGTGCAGAGAGAACTTCCTCTACAGATTGTATGCTATATTAAATTTTAATCAGCTCTTACTTATTCACTTATGAAATTCAAGTGTGCTGCACTTTGTATACTGAAAAATAACCCATTAGAGGTTTATTTCTTTTTAAAAGTGTCCCTGTTTTAAATTTTTAGCTATCCTGAGAGAATGAGGTTATATGATAAGATTTCTCTCACACTGTTTATAACACCTTCACAAGTTTCCATCCCCTCTCCAGTGTTCTTCCATGCCTGTCCCAGTTTTCCAAAAGACTACCTGTCAATGCACTGGCAAGAGTGGGGGTTTGCAATGAGAAAACATTCAGTATGTTAAAAATCATTAGAAGGGACTGCAGGTGTGGCTCAAGCACTAGAGCACTGCTTTGTGAGCATGAAGCCCTGAGTTCAAACCCGAGACCCCCCTGCCAAAAAAAATATACATAAATGCCAACCTCTTCTAACCAAATATAAGCTCTGAGATACCTGAGCACATTTTCAGCAATTATATCCATTAATTCTAGCCTGGGTCTGACAAAAAAAATAATATTCTTGACATCAGCTGCTGGCAAACGACTTCCTTTAAGCGTGAACATTTTTTCTACTTCATGTTCCTAGGAAAACACATACAGAACAAGTTAACAAAAATCCTGACACTTATCATTCCAGACTCAGAAATCATACCTTATTGTCAAAATCAGACTCCCTCCCACAAAGCCAAGTGCACAAATGACAGTTTCAGGACACAGTCACTGATACTGCATTGGAATTTAACTGACTGACAAAATGAACTATTAAAGACTACCAGGTAATGGTCACATAATATAATGCTAAGATCAGCACACAAGCATGCAAAGTGTTAATCACATATTAGAGTCAACATCTGTAAAGATCATTTTGCAAATGGGTCTGAATTTAAAAATCTATCATCACTACTAGAGTGCAGCACTATTAATCCCTGAACAAAACCCAAACAGCTCATTACCTTCAGCAGTGAATATTGTGCAATCAGGCCAAATGGTCCCGTTAAATACTCATCCCAAACTATTGCCTGTAAGAGGGGAGGGACATTCTCTTATTACAGATCATCTCAGGAAATTCAGCAATATCAACAGAAAACAGCAGTCATAGACTGTAGTAACATTTTCTTCAAGCATGGAGTTAAAAATTTGTTTTAAATTGACTCTGACCACATTCATCACATGAGGGTCTGAAGGAACATAGGATGAGGGGCAAGTGATTCTACTGGGTTCCCTGAGAAGTCAGAGCTAATCACTGTTAACAGGAGGTGACATCTGTGTCATGGTATTATAAAACCATGTGAAAACTGTCAATCATACAAAATTTCAACTTTTATTGTAATACAAATCATATTTTGACACAAGTCAGTGCTCTAGGCCCCTATGAGTATTTATTTTTTTTTTTTTTGGTTTTTGAGAAGAGGGTCTCACTGTGTCACTGTGTAGCCCAGAGCGGCCTCAAACTCGAGATGATCCCTGCCTCAGCCTCCCAAATGCTGGGATTACAGATATGTACCACCACCCATGGTCCCTGTGAGAATTTCTACTGATAAAAGCTCCAGTTTCTTTTCCTTTGGTTGAATTTATTTAAATAATTATTGACTTTAGTTGCAAGAAATAATAGAGATCCCTGAGCACTTCATTCAGTTTTCCCCAGTGGTAACATTTTATAAAATTATAACATTACATTCATGATTTTGGCACTGATACCATCCATGATCTCAAATTCCAGTATCACTTGAATTTAATCTGGGCCCCTATGATTTAGCCTGCTTTCTTCTCTCAATGGCTGCAAGCAATCACTCTACCCCTTGTGGTTCTATTCTAAGATTGATTCCTGAGGCTTCTTCCTTCTACTTTTCTCTTCAGAGTAGTACTGCCAGTTCCTTAGGAAGAACTGATAAATCCTCAGGACAGAGAGGAAACAACACTTAATCCTACGGTCGCGAGTGGTGGTGCATGGCTGTAATTTCAGTACTGGGGCATCGTTGGCAGGAGGATGGACGGTAGGAGGCCAACCTGGGCTACATACATATGGAGGCCCTGTCTCCAAACCACACCGAAAAAAAAAAAAGGCACACTACAAAGTCCCTGATGTACAGTGTCTTCCTCCCTTGCGAGCTGAGTGCTCCAACAAGAAAAACAGCCCTATTTTAGGAAGGCCAAGTTGAAATTTCAAGTAACGACATCTTTCATAACCTGTGTGAGCAGAAAGCGGCAAGGGGTCGGTGCTTCGGGTACAATGCGTACTGACACGTTCGGGCGCTGTCACAGCGGACGCAGAGACACCGGCAGCCTCGGGCCGGGCTGCCTGTCCTGGCCCAGAGGGCACCGGCCTTACGGGCTCCCCAGGAGCTAGGCTATGGCACGGTGCCTTATTCCGTTGTCACCAAACAGTCGCGAGGCCGCGCCGACTTCGGGGCGTGGGTGTCGGCCCTCCTGCCTGGTGGTCGCCGCCTGCACACCCATGAAGCCCCTGGGAGCCCCGTGCACGGGCGGGGACCGGAGGAGGCCAGGCCGGAGCAGGAAAGGCGAGGGAGGTGCGGCTGCCTCCCGTCCCTCACCTTGCTTCCCGCGCACTTGTCCAGGAACTCGCGCAGCTCGCGACGCACCGCCTCGCGCAGCACGTTTGGAGACTGAATCTTTTTCGCCGACCTGTAATGCTAGCACTTAAGGAGGCTGAAGCAGGAGAGTATTGAGTTCGAGGCCACATTGCGAGAATCCCGTCTGAAAAAAAACAAACTTGCTTATTTCTTTCTTTATAAGAAATACTTGCTGTACAATGGTAATTGAGGCTAAACTATATGCAGAATCTGTTTAAATTTAAAAACATCAGAGGAAATTCATCACTGATATAGACCTAATACACACAAATGAAATATGAAGCCAGCCTCAAGAGTCTCCCAAATAGATAAAGAGGGAAATTTAATCACCTGAATAGGACCTATAAACACAAAATGAAATGAAAAGCAGCCAAATCAAGAGTCTCCCCAAAAAGAAAAGTCCAGGAAACCATTGATGGATTCTCTGCTGAATTCTATTCAGACCCGTTTAAAGAAGAACTGATACCAACCCTCCGTTAAACTGTCCATGAATAGAAGGGAAGAAACTGCCAAACACATTTTTATGGAAGCCACTATTACAACTTATCCCAAAAACCAGGCCAAAAGACACCTCCAAAAAAGAGAACTTATAGGCCAAATTCTCCTTAATGACCATGATGCAAAAAACCTCAACCAAAAATAATGGCAAAAACCGAATTCCAGCAAACCACATCAAAAAGATATTTTTCCACCACGACCAGGTAGGCTTCATTCCCAGGATGCAGGGTGGTTAAAACATACGATACTAAACGTAATAACCCTTAACGAAGCCAAAGACAAAAAACACTTGATCATCTTCCAATAGACGCAGGGAAAAAGCCTTTGATTAAGATCCAAAACAATCATTTTCATGATAAAAAAGCTGCTAAGAAAACTAGGGAATAGAAGGAAAGTTCCTCAACATTTATAAAAAGCTATATATGACAAACCTTAACAGGCAGCATTATATCTTAACGGAGAAAAATTAAAACCGTTTCCCTCTAAAACAGAACCAGACAAAGGATGCCCATATCTCCACTCCTATTCAACATTGTACTGGAATTCCTAGCCAGAGCAATTAGGCAAGGAAGAAGGAATAAAAGGAATACAAAAATAGGTAAAGAAACTGGTTTCAAAATTATCCCTATTTGCAAGACGACATGATCCTATTACCCTTAAAGACCCAAAAAAACTCTACTTCAGAAGCTTCTAGACATTCATCAATACGTATTAGCAAAGTAGCAGGATATAAAAATCAAACATAGATAAATTCATTAAGCATTCTTATTACACTAACAATGAGCAACGGAAGAAGAATGTATTTGGGAAAACAATTCCATTTTACAATAGCCTCAAAAAAAATCAAATACCTAGGTGAAACCTAACAAAAGATGTGAAAGACCTCTACAAGGAAAACTATTAACACTTCTGAAGAAAGAGATTTGAGGAATAAGACTATAGAAAGTGGAGAATCTCCCATGCTCAAAAGATGTGAAAAAGACTCTAGCAAGGAAAACTATAACTTCTGGAAGAAAGAGATGAGGAAGACTATAGAAAAAGTGGAAGAGATCTCCATTGCTCATGGATTGGTAGAATCAACATAGTAAAAATGTCGATACTCCCCAAAGTAATCTACATGTTAATGCAATTCCATCAAAATTCCAATGACATCATTAAAGAGATTGAAAAATCTATCTGTGAAATTATATGGAAACACAAGAGGCCACGAATAGCCAAGGCAATGATCTCAGTTCAAAAGAACAATGCAGGAGGTATCACAATACCTGACTTCAAACTATATTACAAAGCAATAACCAAAAAAACAGCATGGTACTGGCAAAAAACAGACATGAAGACCAGTGAACAGAATAGAGGACCCAGATATGAAGCCCACAATATAGCAACTTATCTTTGACAAAGGACTAAAATATACGATGGAGAAATAGCAGCCTCTTCCAAACAAAATGCTGGGAAAACTGGTTAGCAGTCTGCAAAAAACTGAAACTAGATCATGTATATCACCCTATACCAAGATTAACTCAAATGGATCAAGGATCTTAATATCAGACCCCAAACTCTAAGTTGATACAAGAAAGAGTAGGAAATACTTCTGGAGTTAGTAGTATAGGTAAAACTTTCTCAATGAAACCCCAGCAGCCAGCAACTAAGAGATAGCATAGATAAATGGGACCTCATAAAACTAAAAGCTTCTGTCATCAAAAGAAATGGTCTCTAAACTGAAGAGAACACCCACAGAGTGGGAGAAAATATTTGCCAATACATCAGACAAGGACTGATAACCAGAATATACAGGGAACTTAAAAAACTAAATTCTCCCAAAACTCATGAACCAATAAGAAATGGCATGTGAACTAAACAGAACTTTCTCAAAAGAAGAAATTCAAATGGCCAGAAAAACATGAAAAAATGCTCACCATCTCTAGCAATAAAGGAAATGCAAATTAAAACCACACTAAGATTCCACCTCACCCCTGTTAGAATAGCCATCATCAGCAACACCACCAACAACAGGTGTTGGCGAGGATGCGGGGAAAAAGGAACCCTCTACACTGTTTGGTGGAATGTAGACTAGTACAACCACTCTGGAAAAAAATTTGGAGCTACTTAAAAAGCTGGACATTGATCTACCATTTGATCCAGCAATACCACTCTTGGGGATATACCCAAAAGACTGTTACTCCAGAGGCACCTGCACACCATGTTTATGCGCACTATTCACAATAGCCAAGTTATGGAAAAGCCAAGATGTGCCCCAGCACTGACGAATGGATTAAGAAAATGTGGTATCTATACACAATGGGAATTTTATGCAGCCATGAAGAAGAACAATGTTATCATTCGCTGGTAAATGGATGGAATTGGAGAACATCATTCTGAGTGAGGTTTAGCCTGGCTCAAAAGACCAAAAATCGTATGTTCTCCCTCATATGTGGACATTAGATCAAGGGCAAAACACAACAAGGGGATTGACTATGAGCACATGATAAAAGCGAGAGCACACAAGGGAGGGGTGAGGATAGGTAAGACACCTAAAAAACTAGCTAGCATTTGTTGCCCTTAACGCAGAGAAACTAAAGCAGATACCTTAAAGCAACTGAGGCCAATAGGAAAAGGGACAGGAACTAGAGAAAAGGTTAGATCAAAAAGAATTAACCTAGAAGGTAACACCCACACACAGGAAATCAATGTGAGTCAATGCCCTGTATAGCTATCCTTATCTCAACCAGCAAAACCCCTTGTTCCTTCCTATTATTGCTTATACTCTCTCTACAACAAAATTAGAGATAAGGGCAAAATAGTTTCTGCTGGGTATTGAGGGGGAGCGGGAGGGGGCGGAGTGGGTGGTAAGGAGGGGTGGGGGCAGGGGGGAGAAATGAACCAAGCCTTGTATGCACATATGAATAATAAAAGAAAAATGAAAATAAAAAAAAAATAAAAAAAAAAAAAGAAAAAAAAAATCTCCTTATAGCAGAACAAATTAATTTAAAAAGGAGTGTTGGCTCTAAATTGTAGTTATGATAGAACTAAATAAAGATGACCTGTTCAAATGCCAAAAAAAAAAAAAAAAATGCACAGTGTCACCTATTTCTTTGATTCTTCATTGATCAAGGCTCCTGTGTCATGTAAAATTAACATTAAATAAATTTGGATGCTTTTTTCACACTGAAAAAAAAAAATAAAATAAAATAAATTAAAAACATCAGAAGGCCCTTTGCTTTGCACTAATGAAGGCTCCTTTGGTTTGTCAGCTAAAATTTGCGGTTAGGGGCCGAGGGAATCTTAAATGACTTTTCCGGTTTTTAGCCCTTCCTTACAAGCCTTTACAGCAACATGTTAATTCAAACAAATACTATCAAGTCTGGAGTCTAGGCTCTACCATTTGCTTATCAGTAAAATTCTCTTACTTCCCGAATTGTGAGGGTCAAAGAGGGTGCAAATCGTGTAATCCAAGTGAAAGGCTGAGCAGGATGCCCGTAATTTAACTGCTTAATAAATTATTAAGATATATGTTTCGATACTTTAGATAGGAAATGGGTCATTCGGGATATAATGACAGAGACTCAAAAATGTTTGGGCCCAGCGCCGGTGGCTCACGTCTGTAAGCGGTGAGATCAGGGGGACCGCGTTTGGAAGCCGGCTTGGGTAAGTAGCTCAGGAGACCCTATGTCCAAAATACCCAACACAAAAAACGGCAGGAGGAGTGGCTCAAGTGGTAGAGCACCTCCTAACAAGCCCCAGTGCCACAAAAAAAAATTTTAAAAAAAGGTTTGGTACGCCAGAACATGGTCCCCTTCACTGTCTTCACCGAAGACTCATGAAGCAATTACAGAGTCTGAGTAAGCAGAAGGGAATTAGGGGGTGATGCAGAAAAGCAATCGATCAATCAGTCAATCAAAACTCATTCTTAGCAGGCTTGGGGTAGAAGCACTCTGGAAACTGAGGCTGGAGGGTCAGGAGTTTGAGGCCAGCCTGGGCTGCATAGTGAGATTCATCTCAAAAACGAAAACCGAACCAAAAACTTATTCTCAAACTCTTGATTCCCTCAAGCACAGACATTTAGATTTTAAGGTAATTTTGCAGCACACAAACAAACCTTTCCATGCTCTAGTTCTCAATTCATTTTTTTGCAGTGGGTCTGAGTATCTCAAACTCTCTTCACCTGTGGGTCTTTTGATCAACTGAGAGTATATCACAGTGACACCTGTGAGAGTAAATGTTGAGCTCAATGCCAGGTGCTAGTGGCTCATGACTGTAATCCTAGCTACTCAGAAGGCAGAGATCAGGATTGTGGTTCAAAGCCAGCTCAGGCACATAGTTCGTGAAACCCTATCTTGAAAAAAACCCATCATGAAAAAGGGCTGGCAGAGTGACTCAAGGTGTAGGCCCTGAGTTTTTTTGGTGGGACAGGGGTTTGAACTCAGCATCAGGGCTTCATGGTTTTAATGCAGATCTACCATCTGAACCACACCTCCAGTCCATTTTGCTCTGGTTGTTTTGGAGAGATCTATAGAACTAGAGGGGCTGTCCTTAAACCTCAATCCTCTCAATCTCAGCCCCCCAAGTAGCTAAGATTACAGGTGTGAGGCACTGGCACCCAGCTTTCCATGAGCTTTGTGTGTGTGTGTATTATAGTTTGAGCTCAGGGCTTCACGCTTGCTAGGCAAGCACTCTTATCACATCAGCCATGGCATCCCCTCCATGAGCTTTTAAGTAAGGTTACAACTTAGTCTAAAAGGTAAGATGCCCAAGGTTAGTGAAATCTCAAGCAAGACCAGCATGAGACCTGTAGCAGCATCAGGACACTAGAGAATGGCCAAGCAATAGGTGCTTAATGGATCTGACATACTACAGGCTTAACAGACTTAATGAGTGTTAAGACCTCCCACTCCATCTCCCCTGTCCTCCCCCCTTATGTTTTCTTTCTTTTTATGACAAGGTCTTATGTAGCCCAGGGTAACCTCAAACCTGAGCCTCCTGCCTCAGCCTCCTGAGTGTTGGGATTGAAGGTGCAAACCATCACACTTGGCCTACTGTTGGGAGTCTGTTAATCACCTCAGGTCAATACCAAAGTTGAGAATTATTGCTGAAGGGTACTTACTTAGGTAAGAGTAATGTTCTTATTTAGTAGTAACTGCTTTGGAAATAGCTACCTGTGGGTGAGCCTGTGTTCATAAAACAGAAGTCAAAAGGCTCAGCACTCAATTCAATAATCATTACGCAAATATCCCAGCAAATTTTTCTAAAACTTCATGTATTAATAAAAGCCCAGCATAGTGGCACATACCTGCACTCTCAGCATTTAGGACACACACACACACAACACACACACAGAGCTGGGGGTGTAGCTCAGTGGTGGAGTGCTTGCCTAGTAGTGAGCAAGACCCTGGACTGGATTCCCAGAACAGCAAGATAAATAGTTGGTATTATATGGTGCGAATGGTGCCACTTGTATTTTGGTTAGATAATAAGCTGTAGGTAAACCAGTGTATAACCACCCAAGGTATTTATTTTTAGCTGAATAGGTCATAAAATGCTTTGAGATAAGGAGATACCAATGTCTTTTTGGGGGGTATAATGGGGTTTGAACTCAGGGCCTTGCACTGAGCTAGGCAAGTGCTCTAACACTTGAGCCACACCTCCAGCCCTTTTTACTTTAGTTTTTATTTTTCAGATAAGGTCTTGTGCTTTTGTCCTGGCTGGTCTGACTTCAATATTCCTACTTCTGACTCTGGCACAGTTGGAATTAAAGATGTGACATCACATGTGTGTGTCACCCCCCGCCCCGCCCCCTGGTACTCAGGGCCTCATACTTGCTAGCAGGTGCTCTACCACTTGAGCCAAGCCTCCAGCCTTGCATGGCTTGTTTTTTGAGTTAGGGTCTCAATAGCTTTTTTGCCCAAGCTGGCCTAGAACAACAATTTTCCCATCTCTGCCTCCTGAATAGCTGGAATTACAGGCATGAATTACCCCACCCAGCCTTATTTATTTTCAAGATGAAAAGTTGAGTTTAGTTTTCTCTCATGTTCTGAGGTGAACAGTCTTGGGGTCTAGCTATTTGATGAATTCACCCATAGGCCTAGGACTTTGCTGGGATTGTTCCTCAGTCCTCCAGGACACTTACCCTTCACAAGGATGGAGAGGAGTTATTTCAGGTTTAATTCTTTTGAAACCCTCCCACATACACACTGTATTTTTTTGAGATAGTCTTGCTGTGTAGCCCAGGCTGACCTCCAATTTGTGATACTCCTGCCCCAGCCTCCTCGTACTGGGATTACAGAGGTGAAGCAAGCTCTCTCCCCAGTTTTTTTTTTTGGTGGGACTAGGGTTTGAACTTGGGGCTTTGAGCTTTCAAAGCAGGTGCTCTACCACTCAAGGCTCACCTCCTGTCCATTTTGCTCTGGTTATTTTGGAGATGAGGGTCTCATGAACTATCTGCCCTGTCTGGCCTCAAACCTCGATCTTCATGATTTCAGCCTCCCAAGTAGCTAGGATTACAGGTATAAGTCACTGGTGCCCCACATCCCTGAGTCTTAAAATTTGGTACATCATTTGAATGATGATCTGCGCAACAGTGGAGAGTGGAGTTTTACAGAGGTCAGCACCTACAAATGCCTCGTATTTTTTCCCCATTTTTATACAATCCTCAATGATTCAAGGTGTTTGCATTCACAAACACCTAAGAATCAATCTGCAGATATATGAATCTCAGGAATCTCCTGGCGGTATTCTCACAACAGCCCACTAACTCTGCCCTCTGTGCTTCCAGGGCCCAGCACTCGGGACACACCAATTTCTTACACAAGCTGTTTGGCAACAAGACGGCAGTAGAAATTGCTGATAGGATGACTGGGGTTTGTAGCTCAGTGGTAGAGCATGTGTTTATTATGTATGAGGCCCTGGGGATGGGGGGTGGGGTGGGGAGGAGAGAGAGAGAGAGAACGTGCACAAGAGTGCCGGGGTTCACCCCTATAATCCTAGCTACTCAGGAGGCAGAAATCAGAGGACTGCAGTTTGAAGTCAGTCTGGGCAAACAGTTTGCAAGATCCTATCTTGAAAAAAACCCATCACGAAAAAGGGCTGGTGGAGTGGCTCAAGGTGTTCAAACCCCAGTGCCGACAAAAAAAAAAAAAAAAAAAAAAAAAGACTGCGATTTGGATCTACAGGGCTTGCTCATTTGAAGAAAAACCATTATAACAAACCTGAGAATAACAAGTTTACCACTGGCAAAAACAAAATAAGCATTTATTAACATAGATACAGGACACTTGCTTGCGCAGATTTTAATACTGCTTTCCATGTTTTGATTGTGAAACAATTCCTACTGTCTTATTAAACAAAAATTCAAGTGGCAACAGATTTGTTTAATATTTACTGGTCAAGCACACAGCTGATAATCTTGAAGGGAAAATACATTAAAGGCATATATACAATTATAGAAGTTCTTTTTATACAGGTAGCATGCATGGGAGATACATTTTATTACTTTTTACATATTCTAGAAGACATTCAAATAAAGATAAATAGATTCAGACTGGTTTATAAACTGTTCTGGTGGTTGAGGTCCTTCATTTTATTTTTTGTGATAAGAAAATCCAAACCTATTAATGTTGAATTTCTCATCATACATTCATCTAAAAATACAGTTAAAAAAAACTTATAAAGGAGGATTGTAGATTGGTTAATTTAAGGTGTTTAATAGTGGCTTACTTAATTCACTGCTGGGGAGATCTGCTGGAGAAGGGAAAAAATAACTGGAAAAAATTCAAGCCATTAGATTTGGTAAAGAAACAAACTGAAAACAAAAGAAAAAGTGGTTTCAAAGCCACGTGATGCTATTTCAGGTCTAGCCTGTTATGTTCTAAGGATCATTTTAGGTGTATTCTCAAAGGTAAAAAATCTGAAAAGAAAGACACATTGTACTGTTTTTTCCCCAAAATATAGATTTTTAAAAAAATATATACGTACAATATATAGAAGCTGAAATTATGTAAAACCAATAAAGAAAACACCACAGTTGAGTAAGTGGGTGCAGCATATAGATTATAAAATGTCCCCACAGCAGTTTGGGGCTTTCCCTCCCTTTACCAGTTTCATGATTTATAATCACATGTAAGTATTGTTGAGCCTGAAAAAAGGCACTACTGATAACAGGTAGTGCAAAGAGCTCAGATACTGAAGAATAAAATGCTTTAAATGAATAAATGGAAATACAAAATGGTACATTTTTTGCAACTCATTCCAGTGTCAAAGCTTATCCAAAAAAAAAAAAAAAAAAATCTAAATATACAAATGCAGCCTGGAAATATTTTAGTGCAAACACGAAAAGTAACGGCATAATTTAAAGTTTCTTAAATAAGGTTCTGTAAGGTTTGGGCTTGTTCCATGAGGTCTCTCTAGGGACAATAAATGTAACAGCACCCGGTGCAATGCCTTAAAACTTAAAAATTCAGAAAACAGAATTAGAGGTGAAAGCTCACCTGCTAAATATTTATTATTCTTACTTAAAAGGGGAGACTACAGGGCGATTTGTTGAAGACCAAAATATTTTCTTAGATTTGCCAATGAGGGTCAAAAATACATGAGTTCTCCTGAAGTTGCACACACAATGCTGGTGTTAAGCTGCTTGGATGCCTGTGTCTCCGAGAAAGCCCAATCCTGCCTTGAGGCTTCATCAGAAGGTCTCGTCATCATTGCAGTTAGTTGCCCAGTGCCCAAACATCTCACAGATTTCACAGTATGGCCGCTCCTCACTCCGACTGCCATGGTGTGTGGAATGGGGAGGGTCCTCAGACATCTGTGCCTGTGTGGGACAGTCCTCTGTGTCATGGAGATCAAAGCAGTCACAGATGTCACAGAAAAGGCGTGGTTTCTTCTTGGACTGTTTCTCTTGGTCATCACTACAAATGTTAATGTGTAAAATCAGAAATGTTATCAAAAGAAAACTCAATAGACAGTTGCACTTGTAAAGAATTTAAAAAACAAGTCAGGTATGTTGGTGCATTCCTGTAATCCCAGCACTCAGAAGGCAGAGGCAGAATGACCTCTGGCAAAAATGCCCTGGCAAAAAGACCAGCCTGTCTCAAAAACAAATAAACAAGAAAGGACTGGGGACCTGGCTCAAGTTGTAGAGTGCTTGCCTGGCATACATGACTACCCAGGTTCAATCCCCAGTACTGCAAGAAGAAAAAGTAATAAAATAAATTTAAAAGCAAGAAAATAAGAAAAGACAGGCACCAGTGGCTCACGCCTATAATCCTAGCTACTTAGGAGGCAGAAATCAGGAGGATCACAGTTCAAAGCCAGCCCAGACAGTTGGTGAGACCCTATCTCAAAAAAACCCATCACAAAAAAGGGCTGGTGGAGTGGCTCAAGGTGTAGGCCAAGTTCAAACCCCAGTACCGCAAAATTAAGTGAGTAAATAAATAAATATAAGAAAGAAGTAATGGTGACTAACTCTGTGAGCCTCTAGGACAAGTCGTATATTTTACTTTCAAAATGTGCAGGTCGTACCATTTGTAGTCTCTCTTTTGCCATATTTATTTAGCTCTAATTATGGCAAAGTACCACAAACCAATCATTTCTTTTTGCTTGACAACTTACTGGAGAACCTAACTTTAAAAATACATATTTGGGCTGGGGGTGTGGTCAAGTGTACAGCACTTACTTGCCAAGTGCATGGTCCTAAGTTCAAACCCCAGTACAGACGAGAAAAAAACAAACAAAAACGTTGACAGGGTATATTTTACCCTCTCTCCTCCCAACTTCTGCATGTCAGACAGGAGGTGGTCCTCCTTTTCTATTTCTCAGAGTTTATCCTGCTTTGCTAAATAAATTCTTGCTAAACTTGCAAAAACTAAAAATAAAAACGCTCATTAGCTCTGATGGCAGTAAGGCTCCATGTGAAATACCTGTCATAAATGTTCAGGTCATCTCCGTTGCCATTGAGGGCTGCTTCTGACATCATCTCCACTTTCATCTTGAGGTCTTGGTTCTTTCTCTGAAGGTCCACTATTACCGAATTTAGGAAATCAATCTGATTTATTAAAAAAGAAAAAAACAGTGAGATATGTAAGATGTCTGAAATGCACAGAAACTGGAGTATCAAGAAGTCAGGAAGGACACCCTCATGCTAGGCTGCTAAGTGTAAAGATGTCACAGAAGGGGCCAAGAGTGCCTGTTACGGAGCCCGTGTTTTCAATTCCTCTAAGGAAGAACGCTGAGAGTGTCTGATGAACAGCTGAATTTAAATGAGGCCATGGCTAGGTGGGGGCTGAGGATGTTTATTTCCTTTTCCATCTCTCAATAGTCATCCAAGGCGTTCCTCAGTAACGACTTTATACTAAACAAGTTCCGATTACATTTCAGAGAATGTTTATAGCTATAAGTAGATAGGCTTTACTTGTTCTTGAGGCACTTTAAATAGCAAAATTCAGGGGTGAGATTTGTAGAAAAATATAAGAAACATTTATTTCTTTCAATAGGGGAAAAAAGCTTTGAATTGTCCAAAAGTCATGAGCTCACATTTCTGGATACATAGGCCTGAGTGTCATTTCCCTTCTCCCACAGAAGTGTCTGTGTATGTATGTAAAAGTATATGTATATGCATATATATGCAATTACACATATTATACACACAATTTTACAGAGTGTACACAAAGTATTTTCATTAAATTCTCCAACAATTCAGGACTTTTCTGTTCTGTAGATTTGAGAACATGGCATGGCAATTCTCTTCAGACCACCATTTAATGACTGACTGGTAATGGTGGCACAGAAAGTCAGCGTGTCTTCAGAGAAAGTGGAGAGGAAAGAGTAGGCAAAGTTTCCCTTCTATCACAGGCACCTACACATGCCAACACATTGGTCCAGGTGCCACATACAGGAAGGGCCCTGTACCCTGGATCACCGGCCAGTGAGGACAACAAGGTGACAGTCAGGAAGAAATCTGAACACCTCCTTTCAAAAACAGAGAGGTCCTCCCCTCTTCCACACAGTAAAAAAAAGGCCACCTTTCTCTAAATCAGGAGATCCCAGTTTATAATATTAGAAACACACACACACACACACAATTTTACTTTTTAAAGAATTATTTGATCTTTTTCTCCTGCTGGGACAAATTATGAAACAAAGGTAGCTATCACCACAGTCCTTGGCATTACATCCCCCTAACATCAGCAAGAGCACCTTCAAAAGCCACAAAATCATTGTAAGCATAGTGGAAAACCATACACTCAAACACACGTGCACATAAAATATAAAACGTAAAACAAACCATTTGCTGATGGGAAGAAAAGTGTTGTCAGCAGCAGCAGAAACAAATGGAAGCAGAAAGGAAAGGGGGGGGGAGAGAAACTGTGTTAATTATGTACTATACCCAGGAGATACACACTATGCAGACAGAGCTAATCCAGTTCAAGTTTGATGGGTGTTTCGGACAATTCCTTACAGAATCACTTATAATACACCCAAAGGGTCAGAAACATCGCAATTGTCATGTCAACCCAAAGGGAATGGAATACTACCTAGCTGTAGTAATATATGGCATGCTACTACTTATGCAAAAAAAAAAAAAAAAAAGCAGTGGAAGATCGTGTAAGTATTAGTATTGGCACATATGTGTGTGTGTGCATCTTTTTTTTTTTTTTTGAGGTGAGATTTCACTATGTTACCCGGGCTGGTCTCAAACTTTTGGACTCAAGGAATCCTCCTGTCTCAGCCTTGCAAGTGCTGGGATTTACAGACACTTGCCACCATGGCTGGCTACATATTTTTTTAAATCTCTACGAAGATAAGACAGTAGTAATGGTAATTATCTGTTTGGGAGTGTGGGAACTGACAAGAGAGGATCTGGATGATTTTTAATACTGCCAAATGTTTGAACCATAGAAATGCATGGCCTATTCAAAAGGTCTAATGACTTTGAAAGACAGAAGACAACAAAGCAGTAAGGAAGGAGCATTACCTGACTCTCCTGGGCTCTTTCATCTTCTTCTGCATGAGTATCAGTATTACCTTTTATTAAAAAAGAAAAAAGCAGAGAGGGTTGAAAGACATTTTTCCTCTTCTTTCCTCGTTATTGCAGTGAAGGGCCAGTATGAGAAACTTATTCCCAAGTGGACCTCCCCACATGCCACTTTGAAACACACACACACACACACACACACACACACACTCACTCACTCACTCACTCACTCACTCACTCACTCACTCATTCATTCATCCGGAGGTTCTGGGGATGGAAGCAGGGCCCTGAGCATGCTAGGCAAGAGCTCTATCACTGAGCCACATCCCAACCCCCCATGTACCTCTTTGAGAATACAGGCTAGACCATTCTAGAGTGTCACAGATACTGGCCCCACCCCTCCAGGTGTTCTCTTTCAGGCTGGCCACCTACTGGATACAAATGACCTACTATTACCTCTACCTGACTTTAAAGAAGTAATCCATCGTCCTCCATCAGAGGAACCATCTCTGTTCTCCCTCACTGATGTGTACTTTTAGGTTGCTGCTGTGGCAGCAGCCATCACCTATTATTTTACATGTGTGGCAACACTCACAGATGACAGGATGGCCCAGGAACAGGCACACCCATGTGTGGGGCCTGGGCTGTGACTAGCCCTACTTTGATGAAACAGTGGGAGAGACAGGGACAGCACAGCCAGGGACAGCACAGCAGTTAGCTACACTGAAAGAGCACGGCTCCCAGGAGGAGATGGGTGCATCACTTTACCTGAGGAGCTGCTGAGCTGCCTCTTGTTTTCTTTGAGTTGAAGTTCCAGGTTCTTTACCTTGAGCTCGAGCTTCACCTTATCAGACTCTAGAGTCTGAACAACTGAATGCAAGGACTTGGCAGAGGCATTTTCTCCCCTGAGCACCGTAACCTGCAACACAGTTCTTGGGCTTAGGCTGGGAGGAAGGACAAAATGAGGCAGCAGGTCCGATCCCCCAAGGCACCCTACCTCATTCCTCAGCTTTTCCAGCTCTGCGTCCTTCTCTGTGAGTAAGGCACTAGTAATACTGATGGATTTCTGCAAGGAAGCCTTCTCTTCATCAGCGTCTTTTATATACTTGGATTCTCTAAAAGACCAAAGAGTTAAAAGAAGTCCAGACATCAACAGAGAGAACAAATAATGTAGTTAATGTAACAACAACAACAACAACAAAAAAGTATAACCGGGAAGTTTAATAAGGTATTAAGGTTATTGTGCTTGCAAAATTTTACTTACTGTGAGGGGAGAAAAAGTGTACCTATGCATAGACATGCCAGAATCTGCATATCAGTGTATCCATTTGAACTTAAAAAGACAAGTTAATAAATGAAACTGTTTCACCACCCCCCAAATTATATCAAAATAGAATCCCAAGTTGAGTATTGTTACTTCTGGAATAAATTATTACCAAGCAATGACAATTAAAGTACATACATGCAAAGCAATTATACACATCATGCACAGCAGTCTTATGCTGGAAATATCAGTTGGTTCTCACTAATTTCAGGAACTTTTTGGCAAGTTCTGAGAATGTGTTTTTAAGATTGCGTGGGCCAAAACAGTGCCAAAGGATTACTTCTTTTCAACCAAAAAAATCAAAAGAGGACATTAAGTTGCTCACAGAAATGAGACTGAGGAAGGCCAGAGCTGAAAACGTGAACACTCTTCAGGAGTAGCGTGGAACCAGGAGTAGAGTCTAGAGTAAAGTCTGAGCCCTCAGTGCTCAAAGTGGGCAAGGCCTTTGGTGAGAAGGAAACACCTACCTCAGAACACAGGCAGTGGTGGAGAAAGGGAGGGATGAAGAGCAAGCCAGGAGGGAGTCAGTCACAGAGGGCAGGCTAGCATGTCAGCATGTATTTACACGTGTGTGTGTGTGTGTGTGTGTGTGTGTATGTATTTAAAGCACTGCAATGCTTAAACATCCATGCAAATCTGCCCAGGTCATGAGAGACAAGGAAAGACTGAGACAGTCATGGTTGGAAGAGACTAAGGACACAGGACATCTAAGTGCAGTGTGTTTCCCTAGCTTGAGAAAAAGACTAAAGGAAAGACTGGGAGGCTGAATCAAGTCGAGTGTGTAGTCAGTAGCCTGTACATGCTAATTTCTTGGTTTTGCAGTATGTGCCATGGCTATGTGAGATGTTCACACCATCCCTGCACCTCTTCTCTAAATCTGAAATTTGCTTAAAACAAAAAATTCTTAAACATTGCATGCAGTGTGAAGCAGGAGGAAAAAGAGTGCACATCACAACGCCACCTCAGGGAAACAAAAGTGGAGAAAAGTGTCCCAGGCTGTCCCTCAAGGCCACACAATCTAAGCTACCGCATTTATGAGTTTCAGCCTTAACAGCAAGCAGTCACCCAGGGGAATGCAGTGCATGTGAGGTTTAGTCTGTTTTTGAACCATCTGGAGGAGTAGGAAACTGAGGCCCAGGTTAGAAATGGCAGAAAGTATGTCTGGTTAGTGAGACCCAAGATATCCGGCACACAAATTACAGAATCCTCATGGTTTATGGTATTGAAATTCTACACAAACATGAAAACGTAAGTGTTGTATTTATTTCATTGTGTGGCTTACACTTACACTCCAGAATGGTAAGTAGTAAGAAAAGAATCTGAGACTTACAGAAATTTCTTGAGTTAAAAACACTGGGAAGCTGGGCACCAGTGGCTTATAGGCTGAAATAAGGAGGACTGAGGTTTGAGGCCAGCCCAAGGAATAGTTCATGAGAACCCATCTCCAAAATAATCAGAACAAAAAGGGCTAGAGATGTGGCTCAAGTGGTAGAGCACCTGCTTCACAAGTGTAAAGCCCTAAGTGTTAAGCATTAGTGACATTAAATTACTAAGTGAGTAACACCTTGTTAGGAAATGGTGTCTTGTTTTGGTTAAAACAACTTCAACGGGAGGAATATACAAGCATTCTTTTCCACATAGAAAGTAAGGATGTGATGTCATCCAAAGATGCAAGGAATCTTGGGCTTGTTAACCTTCCATTCAACTTATTTGGTAGTTTGTTCTATTGCAAAAATGATTTCTGGAGCTTCACTTGTTAGAAATCCAATTCAAATTTGAAAAATGTAACTTTAATAAATGTTTTTACTGAAAAAATACCAGAATCAGGGGTTACTGATGATAGATGTGGATTATTCTATAGTTGGGGTTTTAGTTTCCCAGAATCCCATAGACACTCAATATCAGGAAGAGATAAACACCACCAGCTGGCAGAAGGGAAAAGGTATGGTGTCCTTCTCTGGCTATCAATCAGACATGGTATTTATCATCACATGTACACACAACCTTCTCAGGCAGATTGTTTCCTAAGAAGATGGCAAGCAGAATGCTTCCTGTGTAAGTAACAAATGAAAGAGGTTAAGATTAAGAGAGCGGTCTGCCAAATGCCAGGACACACATGGTGGCAGTCATCTCTGTGGATAGACCTACATTGCTGGTGGCCATTCCTAATTCCTAATTCCACTGTGCAAACCAACAGGGGCTGAATTAAACAGTCTATGCCAGCGTTACTGACATCTGAGTCGCAAATTGTGTTATGTTTAAGTCATGTTGGCTAGAATGGCTTGCTATTACTAAAAATATCAGTAAAGGAAGACAAACACAATTTGAAAGAAGGGCTACAGGAGCCAGAAATCTCTTCCCCATCTCCCAAAGGAAGGTATTACCCAGATTCTTTTCTTACTACTTATATTAGAAATAAATTCCAGTAATGAAGCAAATACCTTAAAGTGTTACTGGGCAAGCTTTAAAATGCAAGATAACAAGAACCAAATATTAGAAACATGAAGAGAAATGCAAATACAGTAAGGAAAACTAAATTTGCACTGAAGTTCTTTGCTGTATATAGATATCGAAAAGAAATGTGTGTGTATATGTATACACCACTGAGTATATTTTACAAAACAAAAGCAAGACACAGAGGGACAAAGGCAGCCAAAAAATATATACAACAATTTGGTTTACTAAAACTATATGAAATTTATTTATTATAACGTGGATAGACTTTCTTTAGTCTTACCATGAAAGACACACAGATATAGCAAAGGAAGCAAGAGTAGGAAAGGGAAAAGAGAGGGGTGAGATGAGCATCGGTAAGTAGCGCAAGCTCGGAGACAGTCAGACAGTTACAGCCCACAGTGAGCTGAGTGAGCGGGGGCAGCGCGAGACGCTTCAGAACGGGAGCCACTATTGCAAACCTTCCATTTCTGACAGAACGGGAGCCACTATTGCAAACCTTCCATTTCTGACAGAGATCTAGCACACTACCAGAATGAATTGTGACTCCCAAAAGCCCCTGTCTTAACACTTTGGCTTTGGTGCCCCTTCTGTTACATGACAAAGCCTAGAGAAGGGAGGGAGTCAAACCAGTCTCCCAAATGGCGTGATGTTAGACAGTCATGGAAGAACACACCCTGCCAGTTCAGCAAGTCAAGGTTGACTTTACTTCACCAATTTATGCCTTGGAACATTTCTAAAAGGGGTTTGCCCAAATTGTCAACCAGTTTTTCAAGTGATTATGTCTATTTTTTGGCAGTACTAGGGTTTGAACTCAAGGCCTCATGTCTGCCAGGGAGGTACTCTACCACTTGAGCTATACCCCTAGCCCTTTTTGTTTCCATTATTTTTTGAGTAGTGTCTCACGTTTTTGCCTGGGCTGGCATGGACCTCCACCCCCCTATACTTATGCTTCCCACATAGCTGGGATGGCAGGTGTGCATCACTGTGTCTAGCTTTTTGTTGGTTGAATGGGGTCTCAAGGACTCTTTGACAGGGCTGGCCTCGACCCTCAATCCTTCCAATCTCCACTTCCCAAGTAGCTAGAATTATAAGTGTGAACCACCATCCCTGGCCATGATTACATTTTTAGGTTTGGAGAAAACCTTTATTATATATGGCTAGAAACTCAATGTGTACAGACACCAAAAAAAGAAAACCTTAAACAAAATACAGGAGAATATTACTGATTTCTTAATAATGAGTTTCACTCTACAGTCAGGAGTAAATTCTGCATGTCAATATCGTCATTTGAGGGATGTGATTATATACTATCTGACTATGCATGTCCAGTGATCAGTTCTAAATTAAACTGTTGACCAAGCTCTTGGTTCTTTCTTGAAAACGACATTCCAAGTATGTTCCAGCTTTAAGTACTTGCAAGGCTTTTAAGTTAAAAGCATATCAAGGTTCTTTTTAGTACTCTATGCTCAATAAATTTATTTAACCATTACATGTATACATCCACATACAAATCCTTTACCAAAATGACATTTAGGAGACATTTAAGGGTCTAAATTATTAACTAAAATACATTTATGTTCAGGTTTTGAAAATAGAAATAACATTCTGCGAGAGTTAAATAACAAAGGTAAAACCAGTTCTAAATATGAGAAACTAGGTCTTTAAATTTTTCCAGTCCCTCTGAACTATGGTCTTTATATTTGTTCATGAAAATTAGCAGTAACTTTTTCTTTTTTGGCAATACTGGGAATTCAACTCAGAGCCTTGTAATTGCTAGGCCAGAGTGCTCAAGCACTTGAGCTGTGCTCCCAGGCTTTTGTCTCTCTACACAGCTTGGGGGGCCTGGAACTCACAGTCCTGTCTCTACCTCCCAAGTGCTGGGATTATAGGCATGTTACCATTGCCAGGCCAAAATTAGCAGCAATTTTCAAGACATATTCTCCTAAACATTAGGACATAAACAGGAACAGAGACACTGAAGTAAGGAGAGAGAATTTCACAGACCCCAAAATGTTCCATCTTTAAGTCATGAAAAAGTCACAGGCCTAATGGTATTCTGAAAGGCATATAATTTAGTCAAAGTAGTCAAAGTCACATGATAAGTAGGGACTAATGAAGCACAGAATCTTTTTTTTTAATACAGCCCTCTCTTTTTCTTTATTTTTTGGCGGCACTGGGGTAAAAACTCGGGGCCTCACACTTCCTAGGCAGGTACACTCTACCACTTGAGCCACTCAGCCAGCTCTTTTTTTTTTTTTTTTGACAGTACTGGGCTTTGAACTCAGGCCTCATGCTTGCTAAGCAGGCACTTGAGTCACTTCACCAGCCCCCAGCTCTTTTTTTTTTTAAAGTTAAATAATAAATAAAGAGGTTAAGAATAAAGGAAGAAGTGAAGTGAACCCATTTAAAAAACCCTGAAGATCAGAGTTTTGAGCCTGCATTTGTTGTCATTGAATATCCCACGTCCTGGCCAAGTCGCCTAACTATAGGGGCTTTAGCTTCATCGTTTTAAAATACAAGCCCCACCATATCTTTCACAGGGTTGTTTTGAAGTGTTTTGAAGAATTATGAAGTGTTACCTAACTGTAGGGAGATTATGTTAGTACTCTACCATCCATTACCAGAAAGTCACAGGAACAAGCTCTAGTGATTTTTTTTCATGTCCTTGATAACTGCTCGCTCAAGGTTCTTTTACAGAAACAAAAGTATGGACTGAGGGTGTATCTCAAATGGAAGACTGCTTGCCTAGCAAGCATAAGGCTTAGTCCAATCCTAAGTATGACTTCCCTCCTCCAAAAAAAAACCCAAAAAACATATTTCTGTAAAATTCCCCCAAGCCCACGGGACAGAGCAGTGACTATACACAGGCACAGCAGACCAGGGGCACAACAGGCTACCAATCATTCCTCTCCATCAGGAGGCAGTGCCTGGCTGTGGTAAGATACACATGTGCTTTGTAGAATAAACACTGCCTTGGTGAAGTCTGAAAGAACCTAAGTATTTCTTCATTAAACACAGAGAGAAATAGGGGCAGTCTGGACCAAGGCCGGACATCCTTTAGAATGGAGTTTATATAACCCAAATACCTTTGTGAGCTAAATAAGTTCCTTAATTCCCAAGTGTGAGGCAAGTACATCAGTTGTCAATGGACAGGGAAACCCCTCTGCCCTGGCAAGAGAAATAAAATACTTCCTAAGAGCATGGAAGGCATCCTCTTTTTTGGGCAGTTACTGGGGTTTGAACTTAGGAGCCCCACACTTGTTATGCAGGCACTCTACCACTTGAGGGGTAGACTACCCTCCACTCTTATCCCCCAGGGTAAGATGTTCTTAAGGTTTATTTCTTTTTTTAAGTTAGTTTTTTTATGTTTTTTTTTCCCTCAAGTCTTTATTTTCTTGGCAGTTCTAGGGTCAACCACAGGGCGTCACACATGCTGGCCAAGCTCTCTACCATATTCTCAGCTCCTAGTTTTTTTGTTTTTGTTTTTTATAAGCAAAAAATCATGCCAGTGTTGTGATCCATAGCTAGTAAGAATTGTGCAATAAGTACTGGTCAGGTTGTGGTTCTCAGTGATTTTACACACTTGGCAGGCATGTTTTAAAAGAGCAAAGACCACTAGGATGTTTGAGCAGCAGACTTCTATGAGCCATGTTCATCCTTACTCATAAGCACAGGGCTGGTAGAGTGGCTCAAGTTGTTGGATGCATGCCTAGCAAGCATGAGGCCCTGAGTTCAAACCTAGTACCTACCACCAATGAAAAAAAGAAGCACCAGGAAAACTATACTGTTTCCATTATTTGAGTATCATGGAAGAATAAGTTATTTTTAAAAAGTAAGTAGAAACAATTAAAATTGTATTACCCATTGTTACTGAAAAATAAAATTACTTAGTAATTGAGATCAGGATTTTATGTGAGTGTGTAAAATTACAGTTACTAAAACTAGGAGGCAACAGTAGTATGAGACAATCTGATTGGAGAACTCCTCTGAGTAAACGCAGCTGAACAGGCTTAAAACTGTAACTATCTGAAACTTCTGCAAATGTGCAACTCAATAAATATCAATACCAGACTAAAATACTGAATATAAGGGGGCCATTTGTTTTCTACTACAAGTTACCATACACGTCATGCTCTAAAGTTTTCCTTACTAAACACACACACACACACCAATATACAGAAACGAACCTACCTCTTTTTCATTTCTAACAACTGATTGTTGAGCACAGATCTTTCTTCCTCCAGCTGGAAAACAAAAATGAAAAAGAGTTCAGCTCCCAACAAGCCTTTCTGCAAGCCACTCTTGGGATCCAGGGCAGCAGAAGCAACCGGTTGTCCTCACGGGCAGGGAAGCAGAGCAAGCAGTTACCAAGCACAAGCTGCACAGGTCTCAAACTATTAAATCGCTTAGGACCTGATGACTCCCCTCTTCCTTATGGGCCTGTGAGAAATATTAAATAATGGCACATCTTAAGTTTCTAAGAAATGTCTGTTAAATGAGTGACAGCTCTGGTATCAAGACTGGTTCCCTTACTCAAATCAGAGAGATCAAGTGTCACTGACTCAAAGAGGAACAGGAGGAGTAGGTTATCTGGTCTTTGTGGCCCACAAATGACCCATCTATTAATTCAACGCACATTCAATGAATGGCTATGGTATTCCAAGTACTTGTTTGTCATCTATAAAATAAAGAGGTTAAGAATTTCCAGCAGTCCCTCAGCTCAAAATTTCTACTAATATTATCCTATGAAAAATAAATGGAAGACTCAGGTAGTTAAATTTATGAGAGAGAAGATATCTTTAGCCCCACCCTGTACAACATAATGCAGTTTCACCAAATATCAATTTCAACACACACTGTTAATAATGGGGAGCTCTTATGTCTTTTTGAAATCAAAGGACAGACTAGGGTTGGGACTGTAGCTCTGGTAGAGCATGTGATTAGCATACACAAAGCCCTGACTTGAATGCCTAGCACTGCCAAAAAAAAAAAAGAATGACATGAGTGTAAAAAGGAGGACATACTGGGGATGAGAACCAACGGGAGCGTGAAAGGAGACAGTGAATGGAGGGTGGTGAATATGATCAGAGTACTTTATACATATATATGAAAATAATGAAGCCTGTTAAAAACTGATCAAAAAGGGGGGAGGGGGAGAAGAAAGAGTAATAGAAGCCAGGCACCAGTGGCTCATACCTGTAATCCTAGCTACTCAGGAGGCAGAGATCAGGAGGATCTCGGTTTGAAGCCAACCCAGGCAAATAGTTCTCAAGACCCTATCTCAGAAACACCCATAACAAAACAGGGCTGGTGGGTAGCTCAAGATGTAGGCCCTGAGTTTAAACCCCAGTACTCCAAAAAAAAAAG